GGTTTGATCCCCATTTCTGCCAATAACTCACAATGGCACCTATGAAAAATTGCTTAGCCTCTCCGGACCTTAGTTTCTTTGTCTGGGAAATGAGGTTACAGCCTGATCTCTGAGGTCTTTCCAACTTTAACACTCAATGTTCTCTTTTTGTTCTTGTGTTTAAAGCTGGCATTTAACCACACACATAACTTAATTTAGGATCCAACTGTATATACAGTCAATGACCACAAATATAATCAGAGAAATGTATTTATTGATAAGTATAGTAGGTAGTCTGGAAATAGAAGGCACACCGAACCACAGACTGTGAAGAGTTGGAAGACACCACAGAGAACATCATAATGATAATTAAAATAACTCACATTGAAGGTTTGCAAGTACTTTGATTACATTATCTCCTTGGATCCTCACAATAATCCTGGGAGATAGGTGCTGTTATTTTCTGATATTATGATGCCCGTTTTACAGATGTGAAAATTAGATCTCAAAGAAATTACTTGACAAGGGATACATAGCTAGTGAGCGTCTGAGACAAGATTTGAACCCAGATCTTCTTGAATCCAAATCCAACCATCTATCCACTCCTCCATGTCATTCATTTAGTACACCATTTTGCAGTTGAATTATTTGAGGCCCATGGAGATGAAATGACTTGTCCAAGGTCTTACAGCCAGTGAGTGGCAGAGGTAGTCCCAGGACCTAGAAGTCTACTGACTCCTAATGTAGGATTCTTTTCACTTTGTGATGCAAGATATCACTTGCATCACATGCATCACTTCAAGAAATCCCACAGCTAACAGGTGGAAGCTTTATTTTCACCTATCAAGGGCATGTGATCTGGGGTCCATGAACCTTTTTTTAAAAAAATATTTTGATAACAGTATCTCAATATATATAATTGATTTCCTTGGTAATCCTACATAGGTGGCATGGTAGATAGTGTTGACATTACAATCAGAAAGATCTGAATTCAAATCCTGCCTCAGACACTTAGCTACTTACTAGCTGTGTAACCTTGTGCAAATCACTTAGCCTCTTTTGGCTTCAGTTTTCTCATCCATAAAAGACGGATAATAGTAATAGCCCCTACTTTGCAGGCTTGTTGTAAGGATCCAATGAGATAATATATGTAAAAAATAAACTTCAAAGAACTATATATAAATGTGAACTAGCTATTATTTTATTTTTATGCATTTAAAACCATGAATCTGAGAATGGGTCCATAGGCTCCCTCAGATTCCCAGAGTAGTCCATGACACCAAAAAGGTTAAGAACCCCCTGCTTTCTATGATTTTTTTTTTGCAGGAGGGGAGTACCAGACCTATGGTTTCCTTGTCATAGGAAACACCTGCCAAGAGAGCTCTGCTATCAATGTAAATGACATCTACTCTGCAATTTGTAGTCTTATAATGTTTCCTAGGGCATTGAGGGGTTGAATGATTTGCCCAGGGTCACAAAGTCAGTTTGTGTCAGAGATAGGGCTCAAACCCAGTCTTCTTGACTCAGAGGTTGGATATCTATTCACTACACCCAATGCCTCTCCTGCATAGGTTTACAAGTATGGAAATCACAGTTTTTCTTAACAATTAATTACTTAGACCACCACTAGGTAAGCTCTGGGCATATGGAAGGAGAATAGGGTTGGGTGGTAGTCACTCTCTAATCACGGCTTACACGGTAGGCCTACATCTTTTGCAAATGACTTTGAAGGAGCCCATTATTCAGGAGGGAGAATGTCAGTAGAGGGCTTTTTAATACATCTAACTGAGCTGCTTTGAACCTTTCCTTTGGCCTCTGAAATAAGGTCTTTTCAACCCTAACATTCTATCATCTGCACAGTCCCTTGAAATTCAGACGTTCTATAATCCAAGTCTGATTCTAAATCCAGAAGACTCCAGGATATTCTGCATATGCCACTTGTCCCTGGGTAATAGAGAGTGACCTTCCTCACTACCCACACCACTCCCAGCCCCAGAGTCTACTGTAAAAGGGCCAGGAAGGGGGCAAGTTCTTTCAGAACCAGGCTGGAACAGTCTCTACTTTGTTATGCCTTCAGAAGGGGGAAGATGCCAGAAAGAGAAGAGACAGGCGGGGTCCTTGGCTTTTATTTCTGGTGTAGCCAAAGTTCCTTTTTTTTTCCTGCTTGTCACCCACATGACCTCCCTAAGAGGTCATCAGTATTCATTTCCACCATTTACGGACAAGGAAAACAAGGCATGGGAAGAGTTCAAAGCAGCAATCATTGTTCATTTAAGAAGTGCCTGCTCTTAGAAGAATGGAGCCATAGTTCTGGGGCCTTAGAGCCCAGCCTCTTCATTTTACAGATAAGGAAACTGAGGCCTAGGGAGAGGAAATAATTTGCCCAATGCCACACAGAAGATTACTGGCATATTAGGGGCTTAATACTGAGGTCTATTGATACCCAGATCAGGGCTTTTTCAAATATACCACATAGCTGCTTAAAAGATCACTCAAGCAAACAAATGAAAAAAAGTCTGAAATTGAACTCTAAGATACCTTTCAGCTCTAAAATTAAGTGTTTCATGTTCAAAGGTCTTTTATAGCTTTCGTAGTGTTTTCTGTATTCTAACACTATATGTTTGAAGGTCCCTTCCAGCCTATGACACGCTATGGTTTATGTTCTAAGCTCCCTTCCAGCACTGACATTCTATGTTCTAAGAGCCCTTCTGACCCTAATGTTCTATGTTCTAAGGGCCCTTCTGACCTTAACATTCTATGTTCTCATGTCCCTCCCAGCTCTGACATAGAATTCCCTAGTATCGTCTGAAAGGACAATACAAAAGCATAGAATCCAACCCTGGAAAAAATCCCAGAGACATGAAGGCCTGAAGAAAGAGGGATGTATATAGAGTGATGGCTAATACTAGACTATTGTCAGAGAGACTTCTGGTTGTTTCTATGGAGAGAGTGGGAGATTCTGTCTGTAATAACTGCCAATTCCTCCCCTGTGTATTAATGAAAAGGATTGCTAAAGTATGGAGAGACTGACTACTCATGCTGATAAAACTATAGATCTTTCAAATAACTATTTATAGAACATCTGTAATTAAAACAATAGCAACAATATTAAATAACACATTTCTTAGGGAATATAAGGTATACAAATCACTGTTTTCCCACAGTTGTATGGCGGTAGGTAGTGTAAGTACTATTATGACCATTTATGATAAGTTTACTGAGCCCCAAAGAGCTAAAGTCATGTGTTGAGGGTCACCCAGCTAGAAAGTAATAGAACTGATACTTGCAACCAGGTCTTCAGCACCCAAGTCTACCTCTTTTCCTTAACATTAATCTCCAGCCAAACTGGCTAGTAACTATTCCTGAAAACACCTTGTATTTCCAGCATCTGTATCTGCTCAAACTGTTCCATCTCCCTGAAATGTTCTTCTCCCCATCCCTAACACAACTTTTGCTTTGCAAAAATCCTTCTTTCCTTCTAAGCCAAGCTCAGATGCCACTTCCTACATGAAGCCTTCTTTGATCTTCCCAATTACACATGATTGCTCTTTCATATGAACCTTCACATTGGCCCGTAGTTATCTTCTTTATATCTATATATGTGCTAGCTTTTATTTTAGACATATGAACCTTTGTTTTATTTTCCCTTTGAAATTGAGAACTCTGAAAGCCAAGACCACATCTTATTTACATTTTTATCCTGGTTTGGAGCCTGGCGTTATATCGATGGCCTTGGATTCAAATCTTAGCTCTACTATTTATTACACTGTGACCTTGGGAAAATCACTTCCCTGACCTGGACTTCAGTTTCTTCATTAATGAATGGAAAAATCATAATTAAGCACTTGGTGTGTGTTAGCACTGGGGATACATGTACAAAAAGCAAAAAATTCCCAGCCCTCAAGGAGATCACATTACAACACACATAGGAAAGTAGTGGCCAGAGAATGAGGGAATGAACAGTGTTTGGTTTGAGAAATCACAAGACTTGTGGGTGAGTGGAACCATAGCAGATTTAATCGCCATATTCTTTCCAGAAGCAATGGTGATATTCTATAATGACTTTCCATAAAAAAGCAGGGAAAATCAGGAGGGAGCACAGCATATGTGCAGCAGCAGGGCAGGTGGCAAGAAGATAGCCAAGGAGGATGATCAATGGTATGTGAAACATGGTCTGGGGTCTGTGACTGGCTACATATAGTGGATCATGTGTATCTATAGCATATGGGTCTTGAACTAATTATCTTCACAATCTCTTCTAACTCTAAATCTGATGCTATGAACCTATGACTCAAAGAATATCATAGTAGGGAAGAACCTCAAAAGTCACGTTATCCAATATATATCTGAGCAGAAATACCTTCTGCAATATCCAGTCATCCAAGACCTCTAGTAACAGGGAGCTCACAACCTCCTGAGGCAGGCCACTGCACTTGGGTCACCCCTAATTGTAAAATGTTTCCTCATACTGGGCAAAGATTTGTCTCTCTATGGCACTCCCAACAGCACCCCTCGCACAGACACTGCTCCCCTAGTTCTGCCCTCTAGTGTCAAAAAAACAAGCCTAATCCCTCTTCTGTATGACAACCTTTCAAAATCATTTAAGACATTGATCACATTCCCCCAGTAGTCTTTTTTTTAAAGCTAAACGTCCCCCATTTCCTTTAGTCAACCCTGGTATGATATGATTTCTAGGACCCCTATCATCCTGGTCACCTTTCTCTGAATAAGCTCTGGCTCATTAATGTATTTCTTCTATTCGGGCACTCTGAATTGCTCACAACAGTCCAACTGTGGTCTCACTAGGGGAGAGAATAACAGGACTGTCACCACCACCCCCCGCAACCTCCACAGTGGAAGCTAGGCTTCAATTCCTTCAGCCTCAGATCACATGAGCTCAATCAGTTTGTTGAATGAATAAATGAGTGAGTGAATCAATGATAAATGAATTGGGATGGACAGCATAGAATGAGGATGAATTTGGACATCTCTAAATGTGTGTTGTTCTCCTGGGTTGCTAGGTTCTGAGGTATGGCACCCAATCTGTAAACAGGCAGCCCGGGCAGAGAAGAAATTAAAGGTAAGCAAATGTAGGTAATGCCAAGTGATGGGGATCTACAGGTATCCCTGGTTCCCCCAACCAGTGTCTGAATCCATGTGAATGGATACAGCCTGCCTGGTACCTGACGTAGGTGAAGAGACAGAAACCCAATGCTACTCATTAAATCTGTGAGCTGGGACAAAGTATTTTGCGTCTCTCTATTTTTTGTTCTCTTATCTGTAAAGTAAAGGAAATGGACTAGGTAGCCTAAGTCTATTTCAAGGCTAAATCTATGACTGTGTGTACCCAGAGGAGTCTTACATCCTTGGATTAGTATTCTCAATTTAGTACTCACCTCCATTTTATGCAGTACATATGGTTTAGTGGAAACAACAAGGGAATCAAAGTATCAGTAATTGTGTCCTGGTTCTGTTACTTAATTCCCAGTGTCAAGTCACCTCCCCATCCTGGATCTGTTTACTTACACAGGTGACATAGTAGATTAGAGATGTGGACATGATTTTTTGAGATCATGATTTGATTTAGAAATTTTATGAATTTGGAGATAGGAAGACCTGAGTTCAAATCCTACTTCAGATACTTAGTAGCTATGTGATCCTGAGCAAATCTCTTAATTGCTGCCAGCCTCAGTTTTCTTATCTGCAAAATGGGGATAAAATAGACCTTACCTCCAGGGTTATTGCGAAGATTAAAAGAAATAAAACATATAAAGTGCTTTGCAAACCTTAAGGCATTATATAAATCCTAGCAATTATTATTATTATCATATTCTCATCTGAAAGTAAACTCTTTAAGATCTCTTCCAAATTTAAATCTTATTAAACCCTTCTGGATACAGGAGAGCTGAAGTAGATATAATCTTTCCTATCATTCCTGCCTCTCTATTATTTAGTAGCCCAGCTGAGCCATTGACCTATCCCTTCCTCAGCACAGGAGAATCTTACATGACTAGTGGCAATCTATTGCCTGTGCAGAACACTTTCTAGCTTAAGAGGTTTCATCTTACTCAGTGTTTCATTTGATCCTCACAATAGCCTTGTAAAGCAGTTCAAAGGGTCTTGTTTGTTTGTTTGTTTGTTTTGTGGTGGAGCTAGGATCCAGTGCAGTTTCCAGTGTGTTTGAGGGAATTAGCACTCCCTAAAGGATATCTGCATAGTCATGTCCTCAAAATAAATCTAGCCAGACTAACCTGGACTGGTTCTCATTTGTGGCCCCTGAGCAACCTGGAACAGCCCCCGATTCCCTACTATCACCCCCATCAACTAGCCTTCACCAATACACATTGACCAAAAGAGATTTTCTACTAGGGATCCTGGCTATCCCAGGAATATAGAAGATAAGATTCATCTGCTTGAGGCCAAGGCCTGAGGTGCTGACTCCCAGCATACTCATTCATGGGTAAGAAGAGCATTGGGACTGTCATTAAACACCATGGTGGCAGACTTCCTCAGGGTTCCAAGTATCATTTAAGTTCCTCTACTCTATACATACACCAGAGTACCCCCTCCTCAGCAACTCCTCAGCAAAACCATTGAGAACCATCAGCATTGGCCCTGTTGCTGGTTTCTACAATGTCCCACCTACTATACTGCCTAGCTTGGGGAATGGGGTTAGGGGTAGCTAATCTCAGAATCAACCACCGTTCCCGCAAATCAGAGGAAGTTTACAGTTGAGGCAAGGAAGACAACTGAATCCAGAGATAGGGGACTTTTCTTTGATTCCTAGTTCTGCTTCCCTTACAATGTTTCCCCTCTTTGGATCTTTTTCCTCTTCTAAAATGAGGGGATGGAACTAGATGATCCCAAAAGTCTCTGCCAGCCTAAAATCCTGTAATCCTATGGCACGTGTTCTCTGAGTGAGCTCCCCAAGCATCTATATGGAAGAGCCGCAGCAATGGAAGCCCCCACTGACACTCACTGTGCTGCCTTGTGTGGGGCCAGTTGTCCCAGTATCTACCCAATGACTACTCAGTCAGCACCCATCCTTCCCTCTCAATTCCCCTGCTTGGAGGAGCAGCTGCCAGACCCACAATGTTCTTTGGAAACTGTCAAACTATTGCCAGCTCATGAGCCGTCCTTACAGTTGTTCCCAAGCAGATGCTTCAAGTTTTTATATCATAAAATCCTCCGCTAAATAGTAATGATATCATGTGTCATTACATAGATGACATAACCTAAGGAGATCTGTGGATTTTTATATCATAAAGTCCTTCACTAAATAATAATGATATTATATATGATTTATATATGTTGGTATATGTTATATACAATTACATAATAATTATCTAGCACTTTAAAGTTTGCAAAGCATTTTACAGATAGCAGCTCATTTGATTCCCCAACAACTCTGCGAGTTAAATGCTATTATTATCCTTGTTCTATAGATGAGGAAACTCAGACAGAAAGGTTAATTGATTTTTATAGGTCAACATGGCTAGTATTTAATAGTAACTAATATTTATCTTATGTTCTAAGTTTTGCAAAATACTTTATATTATAATATACACATATGTATTATATATACATATACATACATACATACATACTTACATACACACACGTATATTATCCCATTTGCTCCTCACTATTACCTTGTGGGCTAAGTAATAGTATTATCCATATTTTATAGATGGGGAAACTAAAGCCAAGATGTTAAGAGACTTGCCCAGGGTCACACAGTAATAATAATAGCTGATATTACATAGTGCTTTAAGATTTGCAAAGCTCTTTACATATATTCTCATGTGACCTTCACAATAACTCTATGTGACAGATAACATAATTATACCCATTTTCTTTAATATATATGAGGAATGAGTAAAGTGTAGAATTACCATCAGATTTAATCAAATTATATATGTTCATTGTATGTGCATCTGGGAAATAAATGTTAACTAATTAGTAAAGGTGGTGGTGGGAATGGTGGTGGTGGGAATGGTGGTGATGATGATGATGAAGATGATGAAAATGAAGACTCTTGCTGGTGTTTTAGAATTCACAAAGCACTGTTCATTCTCTCCTTTTATTCTCCAATCAACCTTGTGAGGTAGGTGATGCTAGTATTATTATCCCCATTTCAGAAATGAGTAAATTGAAACTCTGGGAGGGGAAGGGACTTGGCCAGGATTCTACAGCAAATACATTGCAGATCTAGGATCCAAAACCAGATTTCAGGGTCACCAGTCTTGAGCTCTTTCTGCTGCTGGGCAGAATTAGTGTATTGTTAATTGATCAGAGATCATAAGGTTAACTCCCAATGAGTAAGTCATTTGACATTTTTATTAACATAAGGAAGGCCTCATTAAGGGTCCAGTGATAGATTAAGAACATAAACAAATCTAAATTCTGTTCAACAGAATTTAGATCCTTTCATTTTTACTCATTTATATTCAGATATTGATAAGGATAGGGATCAAATATTGATAGCTAGTTGTTAATTGGTTGGAAAATGCAGGAAAAATATAAAACTGGCTCCATAGGATTTTTAGTAATATCTCAGAGTTTTTGAAGGATTTCAGCCTGGACAAGCCAGGACCTTCAGGTGGCTAGGAATCTAGAGTAATATTCTCCAAGTATTCTTGAGTACACTTCTAATTATGTAAATTTATTTATTTATAAGTTATATGTATGTGTTACTATACTAATAATTATATACATTATAAAGCACAAAAACTGATATTTAAAAAGGATTCAGTAGATATTAAATAATATTTGAACATAGAGTCAATGGGGAGCCACTGAAGTTTATTGAGTAAGAAAGTGATATGAAAATATCTAGGCTTTAGAAAAGTCATTTCCACCACTGGGTGGAGAATGATTGCAGTGGGAAAAGATGAATCAAAGAGACCAATTTAGAGGCTATTGCAATATTTCAAGTTAGAAATGATGTAAGATTTGAGCTCAAGTGGTTACTTTGTGAGTAAAGAGAAGAGGAAAGATGGCAGAAATTTTGTGGTTGTAGGTGGCACAGTGAATACAGCACCAGGCCTGGAGTCAGGAATATCTGAGCTCAAATTCAGACTCAAATACTTACTAGCTGTGTGACTCTGGACAAGTCATTTAACTCTGTTTGCCTTAGTTTCCTCATCTGTAAAATGGGCTGGAGAAGGAAATGGCAAACTGCTCCAATATCTTTGCCAAAACAAACAAACAAAACAAAAAACAAGTGGGGTCATGAAAAGTCAGATATGACTGAACAACAAACTTTAAGAGAAACAAAAAATTTTGACAAATGATTAGATATGTGGAGTGAGTGAGAGTGAGGTCTCCATAGTGACACTGAGATTTTGAACCTGGGTGACTGGAAAGATGGTGGTGCCCTGAACAGTAATAGGGAAGTTAATAAGAGAGATTGGTTTGAGGGCAGAGATAATGTAATGAGATCTGTGATGCATATGCAGCTCTCTCCCACAAAATATGAAAAGAGGTGGTGAAGAGGGTCTTGCTCACCAGCCTCTGCCCCAAAGTACAGAGAGAGCCAGGGGACACCTGCTGCAGCTAATGAGATGATCTGGAGGAAAGGATGTGTATGTGGGTTGAGGGGTGGGAGGCAAGATATGATTTTCCCAACAGTGTAGATGCTGTTGTAGGTGCCTGGGTGTAGGTTGGGACACAACTGCCCTGAGGGACCCACAAAGGCAGAAAAGGAAAGGATGGGAGCTTGCACTATGAGAGGGGACAGCAAGGCTGTCCCGAACTCAGTTTGCAATGGCTAGTGAGAGCCAGTTTTTAAAATTTCCATGTGAACATTTACACCTTGGAAATTGGCAAATGCTACAAATCAGGGATTGATTTATTGTCTTGTTGACTGTCTAGAGTTAAGAAAGTGATGGATAAAATATTAATAATGCAGAGTAAACCCAAAAGTGTGTCCTGTTTTCAGAGAGTCACTTGTTAAACAGTTACCAGCACACTCCTGGAAGACCGAACGAATGTGATTGTGGAGTGGGGTACAACCCGTCTTCCCACCTTCCAGCTAATTGATCATGCACCTCTTGGGATCATATCATGGTGTCCCATTTTGAAGACCATTGATCTAGCATGTCTGTGCCATGAATTCAAAAGTCCTCACCCTTCTCTCTTTTCTACACAGCACAGGAGGACATCCGAGACTTCCATTTCACCACCTGGCTCCAGCATTGGGTCCCCCAACAGAGTCATCTGCGTATGTATTCTTTCTAGATGTGACTTCCACCAACCCTTCTGTGTCCCCCAGGACTTTTTTCTAAGTGTTCAAAAGAAAGAGAATAGAGGTAAAGAGGACTCCAAAGATACCAGCTGGGGGGTGGGTTGAGGACAATGACAGTATCATTGGCAAGAGGGCAGACACATTCATATACCCCACAAAGGCCAGGAAGAGATAAACTTACTGTCAACAAATGCACTGACCAACAGGCATTTATTAAATGCTTGTTGTGTGCTCTACCCTGGGCATACAAATACAGAGCTCCTACTCTCAAGGAGCTTGTAAGTCTGATGTTGGGCAAATCACTTCCCATCTCTGGGCCACAGTTTTTTGATTTGTAAAATGAGGGAGTTGGACTATGTAATCCCTAAAGTCCCTTTTAGCTCTAAATCATGATTCTTTGGTTAAGAACATTTGGGAAAAAAGAAAATGAGTTTTTGGAATAGGCTACAGATACCTACATTTAGGCTACAGATATCCCTGGCCAAGGCAGGGGATAAGATAACACAAGGTAGAGTTGAGTAAAGGCATCACTACAAAGTCATCCCAAACAGACATATCTGTCATCTTTTATTCTTTGGGCTATCCAAGTCTTTTCTAGGGGCCCAAAGTAATCCAAACTTGTGATAGACAGGAGAAAGGGACCAAGCCAGTGAATACTCCAGTAGAGTAATAAACTCTAACAGGCCCTAGGGGAATGTCTGAGTTTTGATTTATCTGGATTTCTAGAATATGAGCATCCCTCCATATCCAAATATACCTTTGCCTGCTCCCCTTCCCAGGGGCACCCTATGTACAATTACCCTCTTAAGCCTTAGATTCTTTTTGAAAATTTGTATTTATAACCTTTCTTTTTTAATATCATTGTCACTTTCCAATGACCCATCCCCTTCCTCCCAGCAAAGAAGCCTCCCCTATAATAAATGTGAACATTACAAACAAATCAACACATTGGACATATATGAAAATGTATTCCTCATTCTGCATCTAGGGGGTCCACCACCTCTCTGCTAAGAGGAGAGAAGTGTACTTCATCTTCAGTTTTAAGATTTAGTTTCCTCGTTTGTCATTCCTCGTTCTCTATCCTAAAGTCCCTTCCAGCTCTGACATTCTGTGTTCTAAATTCATGTCTACATGTCTAGCTCTGGAACTCTGAGATTCTGCTCAACCCTCCTCTTCTATCTCTGAGAAGTGCGTAGTTGGAAATATGCCCTGCCTTTCTCTTTTAGGACTTCAGCGTAAGTCCCAGCCCTCACCTCCTGTCTGCTGTAAACATTTGCCTTTCCTTTTACCTTCCTTCTCTTTGCCTGTCTCTGTCTCTCCCTCTCCCCAGGCCAAAGTGGATAACGAGATCCTTAATTACAAAGACCTGGCAGCTCTTCCCAAGATTAAGGCTATCTATGAGGTCCAGCGCCCAGACCTCATTTCCTATGAACCGTATCACAGATACACCTCCGATGAGATGCTGGAGAGATATAGCTATGGGGAGGTACTATACCTCACATATTCTAAGGGGATGGGGAAGGGTCATTAAGATCTGCTGGTGTAGTGAAGCACATTGGATGTGGAGACCAAGGTAACTCTGCTACTGTATAATACCTTAGTAATGTAAACTCTTATGCTCCTGTGATCTGAAGTGGGACAGATGCATACCAGAAAGTACAAGAGGCTGGGAACCAGGAAACCTAGGTTTGAGTCCTCATTCTGCCACAATCTATGTGAGTGTGACCTTGGACAAGTCACTTTAATTCAAAAATAATAACTCAACAAATATTATCAGTCATCTACTAAGTAGAGTGACAGTAACAATTGCAAAACGATTTCTACTCTCAGTGAGTTTACATTCTCCTAAGTGGGGTAGGGGGACACACAACAGGTAAATAGACAAATAAATAAATGATAATTTTAGAAGGGAGAAAGCATTAATGACTGGGGGGAAATCAGAAACAACTTTTCATAGAACATAACACCCACCTGAACTGAGCTTAGAAGGAAGACAAGGGTTCTGAAAAGCAGAGATGAGCAAGGAATGCCCTCTGACATGAGAGACAGCATGAGACAGCCTACGAGATAGACAGCACACAGAGAACAGAATGAATAGTAAATTTAGGAAATAGCTAGTAGCCCAGTTTGGCTGGATCATAGAGTTCATGAAGGATAATGTTATGATGGAAAATAAAATAGTAGGAGCCAGATTGAGGAGAACTTTAAATGTCAGGTTAAGTTTATATTTTACTCTACAGGCAATGGGGAATCAATGGAGATTTTTAACAGGGAAGTGATATAGTAAGACTGGTTCCTCATAAATGAATGAATGAATGAATGTATATTATTTTATAATATAGCCATAATTTATAAATAAATAAATAAAACAAATTAAATAAATAAGTGAAAATATTCTTTTTGGGATCTTTGAGGTGAACTAGTACTGTGGGAACCAGGTAAAGCTTCCAGCAGAAGATGGGCTTTGAGCTAAGTCTTGAAGGAAGTCAGGGAAACTAAGAGGTGGACGTAAGCAGGGAGAGTATTTCATGCATAGCCAGGGCATGGAGATGAGAGATGAAGGATCATGTTAGAGGAACTGTAAATAGGCCAGTGTAGCTGGCTCAGAGTGCATGGGAGAAAGCAAAGTGGATGAAGATTGAAAACATAAGAAGGGGCTAGATTATGAAGAATTTTAAATGCCGAACAGAGAAGTTTGCATTTGATCTTGAAGGTCATAGGAAGCCACTGGTTATCGTGGGAGCAGGGGTGAAGGTGACATGGTCAGAGCTATGCTTTAGAAAAATCACCTTGGCAGCTGAATGAGGATGGATTGGAGTGGGCAGAGAGGAAGAGGGACCAGTTAGAAGGCTATTGCAATGTTCCAGCAGGAGGTGCTAAGGGCCTGACCTGAAAGTTGTGGCTATGTGAGGAGAGAGAAGGGGATGTATGTACAGGGTGTTATAAGGGTAGAAACACAAGGCTTGCTAACAAATTCCATATGTAGGGTGAGAGTGAGGAGTTGAGGAGAACACTAGGGTGACCAGGAGGATGGTGGCGCCCTTAACAACAGTATAAAAATTCACAAGAGAGGAGAGTTTGAGGGAAAGGATGAGATGTCTCTGTGATATCCTGTTCGAGATGTCACGACTGTAGATGAGTGGAGAAATTAGGACTGTATAAATAGATCTTGGAATCATCTGCATCAAGATGATAATTTAACCCATCAGAGCTGATGAGCTCACCAAGTAACATAGTATAGAGCAAAAACAGAAGAGGCCCAAGACTGAGCTTTACAGGATATCCACCTTTGGTGCAGAAAAAGCCAGCCAGAGCAACTGAGAAGGATCTAAGATAACTAGGAGAAAAAAGTGTCTGATAGACCCAAAAGGTCACAAAATTGAAAATAAAATCTCTCCAGAGGAGAAAGAAATCAACAGTGTCAAATGCTGCCAAGAGGTCAAGAAGGATCAGTATTGGGGTAGGGGGGGAGCATTAGATTTGGCAATTAAGAGATCACTAGAGGCTTAAGTACAATACACATTTCTCAGCTTGGCATTTAAAGCCCTCTTACAATCTGGCTCCAGGTTGCCTTTCTAGACATTTCACATTTCTTCCTGTCTCAGTACATTGCACCTCCTTTTGGGGGACCTGGAGGTTTCCCCAGAAGAAGCAAACCAGCCAATGATGCTCAAAATAACAAGACTTTTGCTATGAGCAAATTTTACTTCACGTAAGCAAAGGCAAGTAACTCTAGGGATGAGGTGGAGTGAAATCAGGACGAGGAAGAGAGAAAGGGAAAAGAGGCAAGGATTTCTCAGACTAGAGGCTCTCTTTCACTACAGACATAGCTAGAGTGCCTGTGATGGCAGGATACCAATGTCCCTTCCTTGGCAGAGATGATCCGTAGGCCTTGAAGGATGAAAAAGTGGATCAATTATCCCTCTCACAGAGATAACCTCGTAACCAGGTTAAGTCAGACTCTTGGTTCCTCTTTGAGGTGTTATGTAGAAGGATTAGCATTCTGTTGGGCCCTAAAGCACAAAACATGTACCCTTCGATGGAATTTTCAGGGAGCCAATAGAAAGGTCATAGAATTACAGATTTAGAGCTGGAAGACTTCAGAGGTCAAGTCCATTCCATTCATTTTACAGATGAGGAAATCAAGACCCAAAGAGGTTAAGTGATCTGATTAAAGATACTCCAATAGCAATGTCTAAGGCAAAACTCAAACTTGGATCTTCCTGATGCCAAGTCCAACATTCTGTCCAGTACACCATGATGTCTTTTCTTATCAATTAAAGCTATCTAAAAAGGGAAGTGAGTTCCCTGCCTCTGGAGGTATTCAAGTAAAGACCAGATGACCACCTGTCATAGATACCATGAAATGAGTACTGGTATTAGAGTTAAAGAACGTATATATGTATATACACATATATACATATATACACACATATACATGTGTGTATATGTGTGTATATATATGTCTGTTATGTACATACACACTCATATATGCTGGTTCTTTTACTTACTACCTGTGGAATTGTGGGCAAATCACTTAACCTTGCTGGACCTCAGTTTCTTCATTAGTAAAATGAACAGGACTTCATGATCTCTAAGATGTCTTCCAGTTCTATATTCTAAGATCCTATGATCCCATGATTACCATTCCATCCTGAATTGAGTGACCCTCTATAAGGAGTCTGAGCACCCCTTGGAGATGGGAGTTTCGCTGATTAGTCTAAAGTGATCCCACATAGCAAGCCTACACAACATTTGGCCTGCAGGCCAATTATAACCCACACACCACTTGTAGTCCACAAAAGGATTTCAGGTGGCCTGCGAAAAATATAGAGTATGTAAAATAGGCCTGCACGACGTACAGAAAAAAAAACAAACATGTAAGATCCTCAACCTATTAAGACTCTTGATTTAAACAGATAGGGCCATTGTATATCAAGGGAGATGGTAGGCCATCAGTCTGAGGTCTTAGGAAATATCCAGAGCAGATTGGCTAAAGCGAGCAGTCCCGAGCCCAAGATGGCCCACCCAAGACCGATTAATTTCCATTTCCATAACTAGGAAACCAAAAGGGTCAGCTTGGCAGCTTAGGGGCAGTTTGTTTTTGGACCCAGACTTGATGTCCCATTCCCTGCACAGTGATTCCTACAGCACGAGGGGAAACTTTACATGTAAGGGAATCCCAAAAAGTATCATCTCTATGCTGAAAGGGCCTGTATGTCACGGAAGAGGCCATGTGTCCTCTCAGGAACTTTCCAACTACCCTGTGAGTGGCCTGTGATTGAAGTGCAGGCTAGGCGAGATCTGATGGTCAGTCAGAAGGCACATTCAGGAATGGACTGATGTGTGTCTCCCCGAATGAAGCATTAACTTAATTAACAAACCCAAGGAACAAATCAGCATAGCACAGTGGCAAGAAAACTGAGTCTGAAATTAAAAGATCTGAGTTCAAATCCTGGCTCTGAGACAAACACACACACCCTTGAAGCATATCAGGCAGCTAACCATCTTTAGGCCTCAGTGTCTTCATATGTAAAATGACCAGGTTGGACTTGAGATCTCAAAGGCCCCTCCCATCTCTAAATCTAGATCCAGCACCATATAGACTATATTACACTAGTTAGAACCAAATAAGACTCCTGAGCCATTCACAGAGGTTCCCCTCAGTCATTTCAATTCAGTTCCCCAAATATTAATTACCAGTGGTGTGACAGGTTAACCCACTGCTGATGTGTTTGAAGTATGTACAAGATTTTGTGCTAGGCTAAGTTGGAAATACAAAGGGAAAAAAATTGGCACAGCTTCTGTGCCATTTACAGAGCTTACCATCTAGTGAGGTGAGGCACGTGTGTACAATAAATATGATCTGATTTGATTTGATCCAATCCAATAAACATTTGTTATTATCTATTATGTACTGAGTTCTCTGTTCATTTACAAAGGGATTACAAAGATGAAAAAGTGATGTAGAGTAGTAGTGCCTGCCCTTAGGAGCATACCATCTACTACAGAGAATAACACATGTACACAAATGTTTGTAATACAAAGTAGAATGTGATATCTGGGCAAAGGAAAGATCCAGACAAAATACTCTTGGAAAATTTAAGGAGGGAGCGAATACTTTCAGTTGGGGAAATCAGGAAAGGCTTTATAGAAGAGGTAATGTACAAGATGGGCCTTGAAGGAAGAGAAACATTTCAGTAGTACATGAAGAAGGGGTACATTCTGGGCATGAGGAAGGGTTTGGGTAGGTATATAGTGGCAGAAGAGAAAAAGAAGATGATACTGGAGAATAAACAAATAATCGATCTTGGCAGGAATGTAGGATGTGAAGGGAAGCCATGTGAAATAACGGTTAGATGGTTTGGCTGGAAGCCAATTTGTAGAGGGCCTTGAATATCTTGCAAAAGAGATTCCTCTGAGGCTTAGAACCTAACCTCCAAAGGGATCTGCTGCCTAGGAAGGATAGATGAACTCTGGGGAAAAAATAAGGCATTTTCTTCTCTGGGTCATACGATCACATTGTACCCCATTCTCTATGTCTCTCTTTCCTCTTTTCTTTGCTGCCTGGATATACGTTACTGCACTTCTCCTAAGTCGATGGGAACTTTATCGCCATATTCCCAGGTAATTCCATAACCTGAAGGAAAGACTTGACCCTTTCCATAAAACCCTTAAGTAGTGAACAGCTCCATCATTCCTCCCCTGCCAAAAAGTGTAGCTGTGACTCCACCCTACGTCAAAGACCTTCTGCTCTCCTTCCCTACCTCCCCCAAGCTGGGGTGGGGGCAGGGGGGAGAAGGTCAATGACAATGGGTTCCCTAACATTCCCATTCTCACCAGATGAATATAGGCTGCTTCAGCTTCAGGGCTCATTAGCACAATCCCATTTTTCTGTGGTCACTGACTAAAGACACCAGCAGTCGTTTTAGAAAGAAGGCCACCAGGGTCCCATTTCACACCCTCACAGCTGCCCATGAGAGAGTGAAGAAGACCTTGTGCCATCACCCTGCAGGTAACAAACCATGGGCAACTGCTGTCCTGATTGGGATCCTCGAGAAGAGCTTGGATGTGGGGAATTCTTCTGTCCATCCCTGTCTCTCATCTGGGCGAGATCACTGGGCAAAGTCCCCGCTCTCCGTGGGTGCTGGTGTTCCCTTTTTTGTTCCTACTTCCAGGTAACGACTCTTCTCCTCTCTGTAGGACATCTTTGAAAGTCTAGACCTCCGGCAGCGGCGAGCCTCCAGCCCAGGCTACGTTGATTCTCCGACTTACAGCCGCCAGGGCATGTCTCCTACCTTTCCCCGCTCACCCCACCATTATTACCGCTCAGGTAAGATGCATAAGGCCCCGAGGCAGAGGTGGTGAGCTTCAGAATGTGCCCGCGCAGGACTAGACAGGCTGCCTACAGTCGATTTCTTCCGGGGCCTCTGCTCGTCCCATTCACAGCTTTGTCTTTTCAGGTTCTCGGTAGTTGGGAGGAAGGATGCCTCTATGTTTAAAATAACTTGGCAGTTTAAACCTAACCTCACTGAATGGAAAGGTCTTTGCCCTGAAAGTCAGGGCATGTAGGCTTGAATCACATATGACTTGATAGATGACCTGGGGGAAGCTAATAATCCTCTCTGACTCTCAGTTTTCCTATCTATAAAAAATGATCAATGGGTTAGGTCCATTGTTCAGAGTCAATCCTGTGAGTCTTCCTAAACCCAGGGAGGACCTGTTGAAAACCGAGATCCCCAGCAAGGCTTGGATCTCATTGGGAATTAGGAAATTGGGAAAAATTTGTCTTGAATTTCTTGGTCATGGGGTATAGAAATTAAAGGAACCTTCAACTCATCTAACCCAACCCCTTTATTTTACAGAGGTAGAAACTGAGGCCCAGAGAGAGGCAGTGACTTGCCCAAGGTCACACAGCTAGTATGTAGTAAGGGCTTTAATTATAGATACAGTGCTCTTTTTGCTACATTATGTTTTCTTTCACTGTATTCTCACTCCCAGATTGATACTGTCGTTCTTCACTTGAACTCTAGGCAATTGGAAGCCTCACATTCTGCTCATTGGCCCTGTCCCTCAAAAACTCTACTACCATGGCCAAATATCCTGATGCTAGGATCTGCTCATTTGCCCTTGTCATTTCCTCCAAGACACATTTTCTGACCCAAGCATGCTTTGTAAAAGGGTTTATCAGTAAGCGGGAAAAATGTAAGTAGGCATTGGGTACAGTGGACAGAACACTGAACTTGGTTGGAATGTTGAGCTTGGAATCCTGAGTTTTAATCCTAGCTCTACCACCTACTATCTGTGTGGTGTTGGACAAGCCACTTAAGTTCTTTGGGCCTCAGTTTCCTCATTTATAAAATGAGGGGGTTGTACTAAATGACCTACAAGAAGGTCTCTTCCATCTCTAGAGTTATGAACTGTGGACTCGAGTTATACTTAATAGACTGTTTTGGACTGGGTCCACCACTAAGGTCCTTCTCCACAAAAGCATGGAGGAGTTTCAAGGCTCTCAAAAGCTGGGGAAGTGCACCACAAGCTCTGGACTGTCCAACTAAGCTGAGGAGGCTCCAAGGATGGGCCTGGCAATGGACTGTTTGTCTTGTCACCTAGAACCAGCCTAGCTAAGTGCAGAATGTCTCATCATCAAAAGTTTAGTCACCTGGGGATGATTTATTTTCAAATAAATCTCCTCAAGTGTGGAAGGGGCTGCCATGTTGTCTTGTCCATGTTGATGAAATCACAGATCTTTGCAATACTTGTCTTGAAGTACAGATCACCCCCAATATATAGAGTATTGGCATAAAATTACACCTATTGGGAAAGAAAAAAATGTTTAGGTACACCCTAGAAAGAACTTTTATCCTGAAGAAGAGAGCTATGAATGAATACATGATTACTGTCTTCAAATATCTGAAAGGCTTCCATGTAAAGAGGAATTTTTTTTTCTGTTTGATCCAAAAAGACAAAAAACTGGGAGGATTGTGGGATAATTTAAAGGAAAGAATATTGTGAGCCAACATTAGGAAAATCTCCTAACAATTAAAATTTCCCCACAGTGGAATGGGCTATCTCCCAAGGTAATGAGTTCCCTGAAGGTCTTCGAGTAAAGATTAGATGACCACTTGCTAATCATGTTGGAGGGGATCTCTCCTGAGTTTGGGGCTCAACTGAATATCTTCTGAGGTCCTTTCTGATTATGAGATTCAATGATTAATAGACTATATTCAAGTTTAATACAAACTGGATTTGACGGGGAAGCCAAGCCTATTAGTAGAGTCTGTATACCTGGGGATAAGCATACTTAGTGCTACAAAACATTAATCTGCCAAGTGCAGTGATTGAATGGTTTACAGAATGGTTCACAAAAAAACAAAAAAATCTGTCTAGACCTAAGTTAAATGTCCCTCCAGACTTGCCATGGGACTCTGGTCAGAACCTTAGGGGCATGATCAGAGGCCATGGGCCCAGAACCTCAGACCAATATTCCTTTTGATTTGAAAGATAAGTTTTCTTTCCCTGGACCCTGTTCTCTTTCCCTTGTCCCTGTTTTTTTTTGTATGTTTGTTTGTTTTGTTTTTTAAGTTTTTAAAAATTTTTTCCCTGTTCTTTTTTTCAAGACCCCTGTTCTCTTTCCCTGATCCCTATCACTTTCCCAGATCCCTCACAGCCTCTGATGATATCCAGACTCCTGCTTCCTGGGCCTTAAGCTATTAATCTGTTTTAAAATCTATAGTACAGTTTCATCTCTTTGAGGACACATCCTACTTTCAAGTTTCTTGGGATCCTGACTGCCTCTTTGCCTGGGTCATTTGACTCTCCTTCATTCAGGGATTGATGCAACTTGTCATCTATAATAATACTATTCCAATAAATTACAAAGATAGCTTGGTCACAGACCTGCATATATTTGGTATTAAAGATCCTAGCGATGGCTGGCGGGGGGGGGGTGGCAATCAATGGGATGGGGTTAGGGATCAAAAGAAGGGGGCTACAAGTCTTAGCCACCTCTCAGAGTTGATGAATATTCCATGGTGAGCATGACTAGGGTCATCGGCCTGTACACGGAAACAGAGTCAGACCTGTTTCCTTGGACAACATGCATGGAAGAGAAATCATGCTTTCTTGCTCTGCAGCTGGACTTGGGGAATAGAAATGCCTTTGTTTGTTCCCCAAGGAATGTCCTCACCATTTCTGTGTCACCATGCCCACACCTCCCCCTACCAGTTCACGGCTTATCTAACCACCTGCTGACTTAATGCCTATTCGTTCTCTCTGTGCCTCTCTTTTCTTCTGTGACCCCTGTGGCTCTCCTGGGCCTCTGCCCTCCAGGTGCAGAGAGTGGGCGGAGCTCACCCTACCATAGCCAGTTAGACGTGAGGTCCTCCACTCCAACCTCTTACCAAGCTCCCAAGCACTTTCATGTTCCAGGTAGGCGGGCTGTGGAAGCCCTGGCCCGGGTGCATGCTCAGTGGGGTCTTCATGAGATTCCGTGTTTTCCTGGCAGTAGCCCTGCCAAGCCAAGGAAGCCTTTCTTACCTTAATCAGGCCTGGGATTACCCATATCCTTCCCTATTCTTTCCCTTTAAACTCATATGTGACAGACACTCAGTCTCAGTCTTCACCCTTAGCCCAGCTAACTTCACTAGAACAGGAAGGGCACTACAAACCATATCACAGGAAGAATAGCTAAAGCAATTGGGAATGTCTGTCCAAGAGAAGAGAAGATTTAGGGGACAGAGATCACTGACTATCTGAAGGGATATCCTATGAAAGAAGCATTCTGTGGGGCCGTAGAGGGCGAAGGGAGCAACAGTGGGTTTTACTTGAGGGGAGGGAGTTTTCAGCTCAATATGAAAAATCTCCCAACAAGAAGAGCTGTTGCACATAGAACAGATATCTTAGGAGACAGTAATCTTGGACAGGAAGAGCTTAAGCTGAGGATTGATGACACATTGTCATGAAGGCCACAGAGAGATGCCTAAGCGAGAGATTGGACTTGAAGCCCTCTGAAGTCCTTTCCAGCTCTAAGAAGTTTGGCCTCCCACTGGCTGCCAGCCTTCCCCAGGTCAACATCTCCATGAAGCTTGGCACCCTGTGGCCTTGGACAAGCTTCTTAGTTCAGCTTGGACAGCTCCACTAATACCTCAAGAGTAACCTCACTCACTAACCACATGCCTCCCCTTTTCCATCTCAGAACTTGGGATGAGCCTATCTAGGGGTGTGCTAGAGCCAGCTTTTACCAGCTCACAAGAACATGTTGTTAAATTTTCAGTGTGAGCATTTAAAACTCAGGAATTGGCAAACACTATAAATCAGGGCTTGACTTATTGTTCTGTTGATTGGCTAGAGATTAGATTTAAGAAAGTGATGGACAATATGTTAATAATGATGATCAAACTTGAAAGTGAGTCACATTTTCAGAGCTAATTACTAATTATACCAGCACACCACTGGGTCTATCCCTCCCTATTCTCCCTGGGACCCTTCTTAGCCCCATCAAATCCATACCTCTACTCCAAAACCAACAGTGGAGGACAGCATGGGGTGGTGTAGGAATGAAATGTTAGTGATAAACCCAGAATACAGGGTCCTAGAGCAGAATGAGCTGTGGGCATGGGGAAAGGGCAGTGGATATCTTAACTGATGCATTCATTCTGCATGGGGTTTACGCTATGCATGTTCACTCCACACCTTGGGCCTCCATCTCCACCCTCCAGGGCCTAAGGTATGTTCCATCACTGTCTGACATACTCCGATGAACCCATCGCTCCTCCTCTCCCCTCCCCACCCTACACCCCCACAGTCTTCTTCCTTATTTGATTGTTGCTTGAAACAAGGTTAGGAATTTGATTTTGGAAGAAGTCTCCCCAAGAGGAAGAGATGGTGGACCCTTAGTTCAGGTGATCAAGTAGATCTCTCTGTTCAGACAAATTGACTTGTGCTTCTTCCTTTGTCCTTTTCCTCCTTTTCTCCTTTCTCATCAACTCTACCTCCATCAATGGGCAGCTGCTGGAGAAAGCAACATCTACCGGAAACCCCCCATCTACAAAAGACATGGTATGGTCTTTGGGAAGCCAGTGGACTAGAGAGGTTTCTGGAGGGGCAGCTAAAGGATACTGGATTCAGCTGTGGTTTGGGAAGATGGGGCAAGGAAATTTGCACTAATGCCCCTCCCTCCAAATAAAAAAGTATGCATATTTATAGGTTGCTTTAAGGTTTATAAAATACTTTAAATTCAATACAATGCAAACACATTAAATTCTTACTATGTGTAAGGTAAAGTGTTATAGTAATGAAGATACAGAAACCAAAAAAACAAAATCAAATCTGAGTCCCTGACCTAGGGCAGCTAACATTGGTGAAGGAGAGGACACAGCATTAGATAGATAGATAGATAGATAGATAGATAGATAGATAGATAGATAGATAGATAGATAGATAGACAGATGGAGGGATGGATGGATGGATAGGTGGATAGGTAGGTAGATAGATAGATAGATAGACAGATAGATAGACTGACAAATATATAAAGGGGTGGCACTAACAACTAGGAGAGAAAGGAAAGGCCTTATAGGAGTTATTCCTTGAACTAAACCTTCATAATAATACTAACTAGAATTTCTATAGTGCTTTAAGGTTTGCAAAGGAAATGTTATCTCATTTGATTCTCACAACAACCCTTTGAAGTAGGTGCTGTTATTATCCCCAATTTTATAGATGAGGAAACTGAAGCCAAAAGATCACATGACTTGGATAGCTAGTATAAACATGAAGCAGTATTTGAACTCATCTAGTCAGTGCCCTATCCATTGTACCATATAATTGCTAATCTTGAAGGAAGCTAAGCTTTCTGAGAGGAGATGAGGAGGCATCTCATTCCACACATGGATATATGCAAAACCATGGAAATGAGAGATGGCATGTTGAGATAGTAGGTCAATTTGAGTGGAAAATAGCTAATGTGAAGGGGAGTAATGTGAAATAAGGCAGAAAAGGCTAGTTAGGAACCAGATTGTGAAGTATTTTAAATACTAGGTTAAGGAGTTTGGGATTTTTATCAGGGAGGCAGCTAGGTTGCACAGTGGATAGAGCTCAGGTCCTGGAATCAGGAAAATTCATTTTCCTGAGTTCAAATCTGGCCTCAGACACTAGCAGTGTGACTCTGCACATGTTACTTAACCCTCTTTACCTCAGTTTCTTCATCTGTAAAATGAACTGAAGAAAGAAATGGCAAACTACTGCAGTATCTTTGCCAAAAAAAAAACTGGGGTCATGAAGAGTCAGACAAAACTAAACAACAATTTTTATCAGTAGGGAGTCACTGAAGCTTTTTGAAATAGGGGAGAGAGAGCAACAGACTTGTGTTTTAGGAATATAAATTTGGCAGGTGTGTGGAGAATGGCTTGGAGAGGGGAGAGGTTGGAAGTTGGGATACCAATGAGGAGGCTATTCAGTTTATCCAGATGAGTTGCAATGAAGGCCTAAACTAGGGTGGTGGCTTTGTGAGAAAAGCTAAGGCAGGTGAAATGACCCATGGAAATAGTTATGGAGGAGTGGAATATTTCAAGTATGTAGAGCCAGGGAAGCTCTGAAATATTTAATAATTTACAAATATTGTTATTGGTAAATTAGTTTAATGCACTTTAGTGAAATGAGTACTGGACCTGGAGCCAGGAAATCTGAATTAGAATTCAAATTCCAACACTTCATGATAGGTATAAATCAACAAGTGTTTATAAGCACCTGTTATGTGCCAGGCACAACACTAGGTGCTATAGGTAGAAAGACAAAAACAAAATAGTTCCCTGGCTTCTGGGAGTTTATATTCTATTCTACTTCTTGTGTCTAACAGGGAGCGATGAACATCTAGCTGGAGCTCAAGCAGTTACCAGAATGCCTCAGAACGGCTACAGCCCAAGAAAGGGAATGAGCTCAAAGGCAGCTCAGTGGATAGTCCCTGAAGCAGGAGTGCTGGGTTTGAATCCCTGCTCTGCTATTACTGCTTGTGTGATATCGCTTTCTGTCAATCGCTTTCCCTTTCTGGGCCTCAGTTTCCTCATCTGTAAGATGAGTAGGTTGGACTAGATCAAGCATTCTCCACCTAAAATCCATAGGTAGATTTTAAGGGGTCCTTAAACTTGAATGGGGAAAAAAAATTACACCTTTATTTGCAGTAACTTCTAACAAAGTAATTTATTTCAATTACTTAAAAACATTATTCTGAAGACCCACAGGCTTCAACAGAGAGCCAAAGGGATCCATGACACACAAAAAAGGTTAAGAACCCCTTGCCTAGATGATCTCCAAGGTCTCACCTAGCCCTATGTGGTTGTTCCTTATGGCCCATTTCTCAGATGACATTTGGGAAAAATAGGGGAAATAATGTGCAACTTCAGGAGAGCCAAGAAGATTCCTCTGAAGTCTCCAGCATGGTTTGAAGCCTAAAATTCTGTCTTTCTCTGTGAAAAGACACATCTCTGTGTGAGCCCTGGCCTGTACGGAGTCAGGGTCCATTACGAGTCTTTCATTTAGGAAGGCTGGGCAGCACATCCGTATGTCAGGGTATGGTTGGCAGAAACTTTTAAGATGGAACATGAGAAGATGCACACTGCAGCCTCTCCCTGTATGATGGATAGAAGGTGTCTAAAGTCATTAGAAATAATGGGCTTCTGGGCACTAGAGTTCTTTAAAAGGCACCTTATAGGAAGTAGTCAGGTATAATAAGAAAAGCATTGTTCCAGGATTCAAAAAACTGGCTCAAATCCTGTCACTGTAGTGCAAATCAACTACTCCGTGCCTTAATTTCCCATTCCACAAAACTGTAATAATAATAATTGTGCTTTCAGGATCTAATTCGCAAGAGTTGTTGTGAAGGGAGCACTTTGTAAACCCTGAAACACTATCTATACAAATATCAATATCTTTTTTTGGCAAATTGTCAGGGAGGTTGTAAAAGATATTCTCTTAAGATTCAGGTTGAATAGGGTGACCACCGAGGTCACTTTAAGCTCTAAGATTCTGTTATTCTGTGACTTGCTGGCTGTGTGACCTCAGATAAGTCTCTCTTCTCTCAGCAAGCCTCAGTCTTCCAGCCTATAAAATGAGGATTAAAAGTCTTTGTACTTACCTGCTTTGAGTTATCATAAGAATCAAGTATGGGTCAAGTGCTATATGAATATAAGTTATTATTAATAATAATAATAATATCATCTATAAATATACAAGGTACCCCAAAAGCCTTAGTACAGTTTTAAGTTTTAATAACTTCAAAAGCATAAATGCTTCAAACTTCCAAAAAACACAATACTTGAAAGGTGAATTACTTTTTTAATATTGAAATATTTCTTATTAAAATTCAACATAACCATCATATTGTGCTATACGTGGCTTTAGTCAGTTTTCAAACTTTGTAAAAACTTTCATCAGCTACTGTTTTGTGACTGAAAGCATTGCACTTGTAACCCTAGCCTTAAGATCATCCAAAGAATGAAGTTTTGATGTATACATGACAGTTTTGACATGACCCTACAATAAAAAGACTAATGGAGATAAATCAGGTGACTGAAGTGGTCAGGCAAAGGGACCTTATCTACTGATATACCAGTCTGTGAAATTGTCATCCAAAAAGTGTCCCATAGTAAAATATACATCCTGCAGAAGGACAGCGTGCCCACCTGGTTAAAATTAAAAATATATTATTCAAAATTCACAAAATTAAATAAGTATGAAAGAAATTTAAATAAACTTTCAAATGATATTTTCATAGGTTTTTAGCATTTTGACTTTTGAAATTATTAAAGCTTCATATTGCCCTAAGACTTTAAGGACATGCTGCATAATAAATATAACATTATTACTAATACAGTACAGGGATACATAAGTAAGGTGATGGATTGTGTGTCTGCTATTTGAGGACCAGCCTAGATAAGTATAGAGAGACTTATGACCAGGAGGTTGGCCACCAGGTGATGATTTTTTTTTTGGCCACAGCAATGCACAAAACCATCTGTATAGTACAGTCTCATAGGTTTCTTGATAATATACAAATCAATCTTGTGGTTAAAAAATGTTGAGGAAACATAGATCCTGACTAACTCACAGCCACCCAGATCCCAAGGTTGTTTCTAGTTTAAGGAAATGAAGCTATACACATAAACACAGATGACTAGCCCTGCACAGAATTATGCAGGCTGCTTCTGTGTAGCCCAGAGCAGGCAGAGTCTGTAAAGTTTTATATTGAGGTAGACAAAAAGACCGAGCATTTTACAAATGCACCAATCCAATGTAAGTAGACCCAGACCACCTCTGAATATACCAATCAGAAATAGGTCAGATACGTCTGGCTATACTTAATGGACTCATCAGTCATTTCAGCTATTTCTGTCTACATGTCTCCACCATCCTTACCCATCCTCTGGAGGGAGGAAATCCAGACTGTATCAGCCCCCAAACTGAAGAACAGAACCTGTCAAACCAAAGATACTCTAGCTTTAGAATAAAGTTAAAGGTCATAGAATAGGTTGATAGAATAACCTTAAGATTGAAGAGGGAAAATATGATGAAGGTGAAGATTTGGGCTAGAAACTGAGACAGGAGGTTCATCTGGAACCCTGGGGTGGAAGGGAAAAGAGCATGCAAAGATCAGTGCATGAGCATGTTGGTGGCTCTTGGTCTAAGCGGTCTCAGTTTCTGTGACTGTAGCATTCTCTGTCCTGTAATGATAATGATATCTCTTGTATTTGTTTTGTTTTGTTTTTTTCTACTGGCTTTGATCTGCCCTGGGTTGCATGGCACCACCTCTTCTGACCTCTACTGCACCACTTGTGTTGTAAGTAACTATACCCATCATCAATTTCATGGTTTTATGCAGATCTTAGTCTTTACCTAGAAACCAGTTAGGATCATAGAAATAGGAGGGACCTTAGAATATGGAACTAGAGGGGACTTTAGAAAGTAGAATTATCAGAGTTGGAAAAGACCTTATAGCATAGAATGTCAGAATTTGAAGGGCCTTTAGACCATAGAATGGGAATGAGGAAGGACTGGAGCACATAGAATGTCAGAGCTAGCAGGAACCTAAATCATAGAATGTCAAAGGTAGAAAGACCCAGAATATAGAATGTCAGAGCTGGAACAGAACTATGAATATATATTAGAGAAAAAATAAAACTTATCTCAGCCACTAGGCTGACACATGGGAACCATTTTTAGCCCTAGTCAGAGGCCAGACTGAGAGTAACTGTCCCTCTCCATCTTCCTTCTTCTCTTGTCCCTGTGACCCTGATGTCATTGTAGGGGGCTGGGGCTGGGGATTTTGAGGGGGCAATGCTTGAATAACTGCAGACTACCCAAGGCCTTCATTTGTTTTATGTCAAGAAGATTTCCTCTAGCCTTTGATTAGATAAACCACCCCCTCCCCCACAACCCTCCTGAGCTTCCTGTCCTGTGGGCACCTCTACAGGCAAATCATTGGCAGCAACGAAAAGCAAAACCAGTGAAGATATCACCCAGTCCTCCAAGTATGCTCCAGCCTACTCCCCAGACCTCTACTATGGCTCAGAATCTGAGTTCTGGACCTACCACAGCTCCCCCAAAGGTAGGTGGCTCAGCCTGGAAGGGAGAGGAGGAGAGGTTGGTTGTTGTCCTTCTTACCCGAAGAGGACCAAAATGGCATTGCTATGTTGGGGTCAAAATACAGTGTGTCCAACTGTGGCTGATCAGAACAATATGAGCTCAGAAGGCTGTACTACAAGTGGGGCACAAATCATCCGGATGAACATTTGGGAAGATGTCTCTAAATTTGCACATCTCACTTCTCTTTTGAACTACTGAAATTCTGCTTTGCTCATAGAGCCTTCTTTGATGCAGGCACTCCATGCTAGGTGGTCCAGTGCATACATGGGAGGAGAGGAAAAGGGAGACAAGTGCTGCCTGCCCACAGCAGGCTCCCCTCAAGTCAAGAAAAAAGAAACTGTTCCAGTCTACTCTTGGACATCAGGGAAGCCTCCAGATCAGGAACTGTTTCAACAAACATTTCTTAGGCAATTTCTCTGTACTGAGCAAACACAAAGTTTAGCTAAAATTTAGTCTCTATCCTTAGGGAGATGACAATCTTAGAGAAGAGGTAAGATATACATCAGTAATACAAAGCAGAGAGTGAGTACAAAGTGCCGTGAGGGAGAGGTCCCTTCCTTTTGGGGAATCAGATAATTCAATTCAATAACTATTTATTAGGCAAGTACTATGGGCTGGGTCCCATATAGGCCCATTCTTTGCCAAGAATGCAAAAATTCAAACAAATGAACAAAAAACTACCACAGTCCTTGTCCTTAAGCAGTTAATAATCTAAAGGAGACTGACCTGTACATAAATAGACATGATCCCAGGAAGAATGGGGATAAGAACAATAGAGATCCAACAAAGGGCTACAAGAAATTTGAGAAGGAAGAAATCACTTTCAGCCTAGAGAGATCAGTGAAGTCTTCATGAAGACAGTGGCACCTCAACGAGGCCCTGGAAAAAAAAAAGAAAATTTCACAAGGTGAAGATGAAGACTGAGTGCATTCTAAATGAAGCCAATGAGCATTTATTAAGTGCTTTATATGTGCCAGACACTGGGGATACAAAGAAAGGCAAAAAACCCACTGTCCCTGCCCTCAAGGAGCTCTCAATCTAATGGAGAAGACAATATGAAAACAATTATGTACAAACAAGATATAGACAACATAAACTGGAGATAATTAAGGCATTAACAGTAAGGGAGATGAGAAAAGGCTTCTTGCAAAGATGGAATTTTAGCTGGGACATGAGAGAAATAAGGGAAGCAAAGCATTCTAATATACACTATACAAGAAAGGGTAAGACAAGATCAAGAAACAGTCAGTTATCCTATGAGACATAGGATGTATAAAGGAGAATCATGGAAGCCTAGCTCAGCTATTTCTTACCTGTGTGGCCTGAGATGAGTTACTGACCTTCTATGGGTCTCAGTAGCCACATAAGTAAAGTGAAGAGAGTGGACCAAATGAATCCTAAAATTTTTCCAGCTCAAATAAATCTGAAAATGTAAGTTAGAATAAGATTGTGAAGGGCCTTAGATTACAAGCTAAGGTTATTGGACTTTAGGCTATAGTGGGTAGGGAATTGAGCAGGGGAATGACATTATCAGAGCTATGAATTAGGAAGTTTATAGTGAGATAGGGGACAGATTGGAGAAGGGAGAAATTGGAGGTAGGGATACCAATTAGGAGGTTAATAAAACAGACTAGTCAGGAAGAGGTGAAAACTTGGACTTGTGGGAGTGGAGAAGGAAGGGACAGATGCAGAGAAAATAAACAAAAATCTCATCAAATAAATGAATATAGCAAAGCAAGATAGATATTCAGGGCTGAGATACATTTCTGATTATACTTATGTCTCACCCTGTCTTCCAGGGTGGTAAACCCTATGAAGGCAGGGACTCTCTAATCTTAACTTTGTACTTTCCCTAGTGCCCAGCACAATGTTCTAAACACATGAAGTACTTAATAAATATTCATTGTATATATGTATAATTGACCCAATCTTATTTCTCCCCATTTCTTTCTCCTACTTTTTTTCAACTCAGTCCCTAGAGACCCTCTAAGTCCTACAGTGAGAGCTTAGGGATGGACATTTCACTTCCTTTCAACCACCCTCCCTATTTTAGCCAGATGATAGGTGGCTACGGCTGGAGCTCCATACTTCTCAGTCTCCATGAAGCTGATCACAGAGTGATCCAGGGCAAAGGGGAGAATATTAATTCAACAGTAACACAGAGGCACCACAATCAAAGCTCAAAACTTTCCATAGTTCACCTAAAGGCAGGTGGGGGAGCAGTCTAACAATAAGAAATATTCTTAAATGATTGCTATGTTCAGAGAACTTAACTAGACACCCGGGGGAGATAGAAAATTTAAATAATGCTTGATCCTTGTCCTTGTGAAGCTTACAGTTTAGGAGAGAGGTGAAACAAAAATACAGATAACTATAATGCAAAAACAGTAGTGTAATGGGAATTTTTTATTTCCTTTTATTCTTCCTGCAACTTTTGGTTAATATTAACCTCATCTCACCAAAACCTATCCCATGGGATGTGAAAAGTTACTTACAGCCTTAAACATTCTTATATAAGAAGCTATAGAAAGAATCTCAACCGTCCCTGACTCCTTGGAGACATGTAAATCTTCTTCCTTGATCAGCCTATTTGTGAATCCTCTAAATGTAGTTTAATCTGTAACCTGACTTAGTTTACTTATACAGTTTGTTTGACAAGTTTTGTTTCCTTAGGGGATGTGTGAAATCATGACTGTGTAACTGAGTTTGTTCATCTTTTATGACATTGAAGAAAGTATAGGATTATGGATCTATCTTCTCTTTAACTTTTTATGGCCTAAGAAGAATGTATGAGATTGCAATATGTAAATGAATTATTTCTTTGTCACTCTGATGCAATTTTTCCTTTAAAAAGCCTTGTCAGAATTCTCATAGTGGTTCAGGTTTCCTCTGAGGCCTGAACTTAGGCTTGGACATAATAATAAAACCTAGGTTTTCACCTCCATGTTTTCTTCATTGTAGCAAATAATTTATATGTATTTGGTAGCAGCTACCCACCAAGCAAACTCAAAGAGGAGCTATTTCTCCCCTAACACTAGTCAGTCAGTCAACCAGTAAATGAGCATTTATAAAGCTACCACATGCCAGGCACTGTGATAAACACTAGAAATACAAAGAAAAACAAAAGCTAGTCTTTGCCCTCAAGGAGCTCACAATCTAATGGGGGAGACAATATGCAAACTATGTACAAACAAGACACAGACAGGATAAATTAAAAATAATTAAAAGAAGGAAGGCATTAGAATTAAAGGGGATCAGGAAAGGCTTTTTATAAAAGATGAAAATTTAGCTGAGACTTGAAGGAAGCCAGAGGAGCCAGGAGGCAGAGATGTGGGAGAGCATGCCAGGCATGAGGGACGATAAGTAAAAATGCCCATTTATATACAGCAATCTTGTACATTCTTCTTAGGCCATAAAAGTGAAAGAGAAGATACATTCAGAGCCAGGAGATAGAGTATCTTGCTTGAGGAACAGTGAGGAAGCAAGGATCACTGGGTTGCATAGTATATGGGGGCCAAAGTGAGGGTGTATAGGGTAAGAAGCCTGGAAAAGTTGGGGTGGGGTGTGGGAGGAGGAGCAGGTTATGAAGGGCTTTGAACATCAAACATAAACTTAGAAAGCGAAGAGTATCAAGGAGAAGAGTGTGATTGACAGCATTGATGGCTGCAGAGAATTCAAGAGAAGTGAAGATGAGAAAAAGCTGGTGTATCTTACAACTAAGAGATCATTAGTCACTTTGGAGAGAGCAATTTCAGTTGAATGATGAGGCTGGAAGCCAGATTATAGAAAGAAAAAAGTGAAAGAAAACGAAGTGGAGCATCAATTGTAGATAACTTCAAAAGGAATTTAGCCACAAAAGAGAAGAGATATAGGATGATAGCTGTCAGATGAATCAAGTGAAAGTTTTTTGAGGATAGAGGACATTCTCTGTATGTTTATAGGCCGTAGAGAAACAGTCAGTAAATAGGGAGAGATTAGAGAAGAGTGCAAGAGTAGGGATGATTATGGGGGCAATCTGCAGGAGAAAAGGAAATGGAATGGAATCTACTTGTACATGGAGAGAGATTGGCCTTGGTGTTGAGAAGGGCTGCCTCTTCATAGGATGTGTATTGGGGAAGTTGGACAAAATACTAGGTGAGGCTTAAGGCAGAGAAAGGTTGTTGGGAGATTGGGGGCAGATTGGAAAGGGAATAGGGAAGCAGAGACATAACTAGGGCAGAAGGACTTGTACTTTGTACTAGGCAGCACTCTGAGGTGCTGAAATTTAGAGGGCTGACAGTGCTGTCCTCCTTCGACAGGTAGAAGCACCTAAGCTTAGCACCTAGAGAGCAAGAAAAAAGTTTAAATAGGAAATTACCTGATGATTTGCTTCCTCTTGACCTGCAGCCATATCCTAGGTGACCTCCAGTTCTGTCTAACTTTCTCTCTTGGCAGTGACCTCCATGCCCTGGGCTCTCCATCTCCCCTGACACCTTACGCATTTTATGGTACTTAACCAGGGCCCAAGAAGAGCTCATTATAGCAGTGTAGGGTAGCATGTTAGTTGAACTTTAAAAGATGGGTAGAAATTCACCAGGTAAAGAAAGGTAAGGAAGTCATTCTAGTCACATGGCAGTAGGATAGCACAGAGAGTTTGTACAACAGAGAGTAGCCATTGGAAAGCCAGTGGCATTCAGACAGACCTTGACCAGAATGCTTTGCTTCATGAGCCACTCTTTCCCACCCTCCTCAAAGGGAGAATTGTCTCTTGAAGCATTCCAGATGATCCCTCTCAATTCTCGAACCCATGTTGGCCCTTTTCAATGTGGAGATGGGAAATGGCCATGGTTAGGCAACCTTGTTTAGATGGGCCCTGGAAGGCTGAGTGTACCCTGGTGGAGACGCTCATGGAATTTACCCTGCCTCTGTCCCCTGCCAGTGCCCCGAGCCCGGAGGTTCTCAGCCGGAGGAGAAGAGGATGATTTTGACCGCGGTCTGCATAAGGTGAGCAACACTTTGCCTCATTGATCTGTGAGCACACTGTAACACCATTGTGGGCAGCTTCCATTGGCCCTGCATGGACTGTAGGCCAATGTTTCTCTTAGGTAGAGAATCTCAAGCCCTGGAGAACTGAGGAAAAATGGAACTGGACATCTGACCTTACCTCATTCCTTGTCCTCCAATCAGTTGAGACCAGTCTGATCAATATCCTATTGTATCCTTGGTTCTGTATTTCTTATTCTTTGCTGGTATCCCCTCATCATCTGTGAAGCAGCATGGTGTGGTGGAAATAGTATTGGAATTGGAACCAGAGCACCTGCGTTCAGATTCTTGGTCTCCTACTTAACTACCTGTGTGACCTTGAGCAAATCACTTCCAAAACTTCCTTCAAGTTTAGACCACAGGGTTGTGAGCTTCAAACACTCACTAAGAGGGACAGTTCTCTTAGATAAACTTAGATACCCCCTGAGCTGCTGTGACACCTGCCTCCATTAGGTCTCCAAGTTGGGGAAGGGGGAGCTCAGGAGCTTGGCTAGTCATCAGGTAAGAGGGGAAGACTCAAGGGCATGAGAAACCCCCTGAGAAGGCCCCAGCTCCCCATGACCCACCAAGGGCTTCTACCACATTGAAAACACTTCTATAAAGAAGTTCTGGATTCAGAAAGTCCAAACCTGCACAAGAGATTCTGTATGCCAGGTGCTTTTGTCTCTCTGAAAGCAAGAAGAAGCAGCCTTAGACCTTCAGTTGGGAAGTAGGACTGATGGATGCCCTCCAATCACATAAGAGAAGCCTTCTTTCTTTCTCTGTGCTTATTTTCCCCTTTTGTAACCCTGAATGTTGACTGTAATTAGTTCTACCATATAACATGTCACACAATACCACTGTTAAAATAAAGCCTATTTTTCATCATCTTTGTGTCAGGTCAGTCTAAAATCTTGAATCTTAAGCTAACAGTCTTCACTCACAGCTAAATCATTAGTCTTCAGGTTTCTATGTATGACATAGACTGAATGAATTTCTTTTAGACTCCTGAGAATCTGGTATATAGGACCTTTGTGTGGTCATTAATAAGCTTTTTACACTTCAAAATGTTGTTCAGGTGCATCCCTGTAAGGTGGATGATATGAAGTGTTATTATCCCTATTTTAGAAAGGAGAAAAGTGAGGCTTTGAGATGGAAAATGATTTGCCCTAGATCTCACAATTAGGTAAAAAATAAGAACCATAAAATCTTGGTCATTTTACTCAAGATTCATCATTTTTTCATTATTAATTTATGTGTTAATAAGAAGAACTTGCATTTTATTTTGTCCTAAGTACTTTATTCACAGGACCCTTGACTGGTTAAGGACTCTGGCCTGGGGTTCATTCCCTCCTTCCTGAGCATATCTTTGTGGGAACCAAGTTTCAGTAACTTGGAATGACTTCCTGAACAGTGGGGCTTGAGTTTTTCTAGATTTGAAACTATTCTTTCAAGAAACAAGTGGATGGGAATGGAGGGAAGACAGTATTGTAGTCAGTTGCTGTAATTCGTCTTTATTTTGAAACTCAACAGGAAGATTTGTGCAAAATAAAATGTAAATTCTATTTTGGGCCTTTGGTCCAGGAGTGTGAGTTTCAGACCACAGTTCTTGGATCTCTTAATGGAAAAGATAACCAGCAATAGTTCCCAAGCAGGAAGTGGCATCCATGCCCCATGCCAATGTAAAATGTATGCCCTCTTATCCTTTATTCTTTCCCCTTTCTCCCTTTTCTCTTTCCTCTTCCTCCTCTCCCTCTCTTTCTCTCCCTCTTTTCAACATGTCTCTGTCTCTCTTGCTTCCCTACTACCTCTTCTCTTCTCCCTCTCTTTCCCTACTCTCTCTTCTCTTCTCCCCTTTTCCCTTTACTGATGCCCAATTCTCTCTTCCATTCTCCCTCTCTATTGCTTTCCTACTCCCTCTCTCTCTCTCTCTCTCTCTCTCTCTCTCTCTCTCTCTCTCCTTCCCTACTTTGTTCCCTTCTCTCTTTCCCTCCTGTTTCTTTTCTATCTCTCTCCTCCCCTCCTTTCTCTTATCCTCCTCCCTCTTCCTTCTTCTCCCCTTGCTCCCTCCCAGATCCAGAGTGGGATTGGACGGCTGATTCTGAAGGAGGAGATGAAGGCTCGCTCCAGTTCCTATGCAGATCCCTGGACCCCTCCCCGGAGCTCTACCAGCAGCAGAGAAGCCTTGCACACTGCTGGCTATGAGACTTCCCTCAATGGCTGTAAGGGCAAGAGGGGTGGGGGTTGAGGGGTTCCTGCTCTCTTAAACTCTCAGAGTTAGATGTCCCAAGGCCCACTCAAAAGTTAGGAGGGACTTAGGATATAGGAAAAGAAATACAGTAACACCTTGAACCTTGGCTCCTGAGTTAGCAAATTATCTCTAAGAGTCCAATATTATGCCTGCCACTTTCTTCTATCTTGAGCACCTAGTCCAAGATTCCAGTGTGTCTTACTTAGTGAAGAATATCATTCCCTCTTTCTGAACATCGATATAAGGTTCATCCTTAGTCCATCCAAAATTCCCTTAGTGATCTTGGAAGCCTCTGGCTTTGAATGATCCTCTTCAACTTCTCCCTCTAGCCATGTGTTCCTCACATTTATTTTGCATATTAAATGCACGTATTCATTGCATCTCAGGCCAGGAAGTTACCTCCAGTGATGGGGAGTCAGGAGAACTGAGTTTGGCTCCCTACCTATATGATAACCATGGGCAAGTTGCGTCATCATCATCATAATAGCACTTTAAGGTTTGCAAAGTTCTTTATGTATGGTATCATACATCAACCCTGTGAAGTAGGTGTCATTATCATCCCTGTTTTACAGATGACAAAACTGAAGCTAAGAAAAGCTATGACTTGGCCATCATCACACAGCTGGTAAAGATCTGAGGCAGCATTTGAAGTCAGGTCTTCCTGACTCCAAGTCCAATACTCTATCTACTTAAGTAGCACCTAGCTGTATAAGTGTCTTGGTTTCCTCATTTATAAAATGAAGATATTAGAATAGAACCTTTAGAATAGAGCTTTTAGAACCACCTAACTCTAAGAGGAGACAGTGTGGTTTGGGGAAAAAGACTATTGGATATGGAGTCCAAGTACCCGGGTTTGAATCCCATTTCTACCACTTACCACCTGTGTGACTTTGGGCAAGTCACTTAACTTCCCTGAATCTCAGTTTCCCTTTCTGTAAAATGAGGAGGTTATACTAGATGACCCCCAAGGTACCTTCTAGCTCTAATTCTTGATCTGATGATTCCTTGAGTGGGTATTATGTCAGTGACCTAGATTATACAAAATTATAGATAAGCCTATTTTCAGGGCCTTTTCCAGTTTATCAGAGCTTGTGTTTTTCTGGCATAACCTTAGAGAACCCAAACCATCTCCAAGCCACAATAAGGCATTCAAATAAGACTTTAGTGGAGTACCAGCAGCTCAGCAATGATCTCTGTGTCTGTCAACTGAAGATCAGAGTAGCTATCTTTGGCGAGACCCATCACTAGGGGGGCTGACCACAAGGCGATGGATATTTTTGGCTACGGTGACTAATGATGATAGAATGCTATGGTATGAAAGGTTTGGGAACTACATTAGTGAAAGAAAGATTTACACTAATGAAATCACAGATCTTTGCAATACAATGAAACCTTGCATAGACTTCTTTCCACACAATTCGTCATTTGAGTCTTAGAGACACACCAGAGGGAACTAGGAAGACCACCACTAAGAAGAATCTGATCAGCAAGGCTGTAGGGGGAGAACGTGGTAATTTTCCTCCATCCCATATGACAAACTGAGTCCTTATCTTACCCATTGGAGAGGGGGAGTAAACACTGAGAGACTGCTGGGAAGGCAAAAGACAACTCTAACAGAATGGGCAAAAACCCTTCAGCCTCAATTTACTCAAAAAAAGAAAATGGGAGAGGCAAAAGGTTCAAAAAGCAAGAGAAATGGGACTTTTGAAGCAGGATGAATATAACCTAGGGATAAAGTCTTGCAGTGGAAAGTACACTGGGTTAAGGGTCAAAGAACCTGAACTGGATTTCAAGCTCTGCCATTCAATCCACATTTGACCTTGAACAAGTCCCTTCCCTGTTCTGGATCTGTTTCCTCCATCATAACATTAAGAGATTAGGCTAGCTAAGCTCTATGATCTCTCCAAACTCTGGCATTCTGTGTTCTAAGGCCCATTGCAGCTCAAATATTCTAAATTCTCAGGACTCCTCCAGCTCAGACATTTTGTGTCTTGAGGTCCCTCCCAGCTCTAACATTCCAAATTCTAAGGACCCTTCTCTGAGCTCTGACATCCTATGCTGTAAGGTCCCTTTCAGCTTTGGCACTCTGTGTTGGTGATCCCTTTTATCTCTGACATTCTGTATTTTAAGGTACATTCCAATATTGACATTCTATGTTCTGTGTTATGTCTCTTCCCACTCTGAGAATCTGTGTCCTAATATTGTATAGTTCTGAGAATAGGCACAAAAGGGAATCAGCTTAAGAGTAGACTCTACTATTTCTATAGTTTGATCACTGGTTGGCAACTCAGCACTGGTCGCTGGCCTGGGAACCCACTTTGCCAATAGTGCAATAGGTGAAGTGTCTGGAAATTGGTCATTGGGAATATGGGTACCACATAGTATGTAACTCCACAGGGAAGCCACACAGTGTAACTCCAAGGGCTAAATCTATTAGTGGGATAGGTCTTGCCCTGCAGGCCACCTTGTGCTGACCTGATCTTTCTCTGATTGCAGCTCCCCGGTCCCATTACCTGGCTGACAGTGGTACGTAGAGTTTCTGCCCCTTGGTCTACCAAAAGACCTTCCCATCCTATCTTACCCTAGGATTTATCAACCCCCTTTGGCTAGGAGATTAGCCTACATGGGGTGAGTCAGTTAGAACTGAGTTCTGGTAACAATTGAGTCCCTTATCATAATTTCCCTGGGCCTTAAAAAGATACCATTCACTGTTACTGTTTGTTCTCTTTCACAGCTAATAGGTGGAGTTGGGAAAGGGGGAGCCTATTCCCAAAACAGGAAGATAAATGAGGTGGGGCAAGAATGCCAACTTGTATGTGGAGGTAGTGCTGCATGGTCTTTAGCTTGGGTCTTAGACCCCCTTAAAACAGAGAAGGTCATGAATCTTAGAGTCTCCTATTGTCCTTACCCCTGCCAAGGTAGGTAGAAGCAAGTTCTGGATTTGGAGTCAAAGGATCTGGGTTTGAATCCCAACTCTGCTATTTATAGATTATATTTATATTGTACTTATTTGTGGGACCTTAAAGCAAGCCACTTGACCTCCCCGGGCCTCATTTTCCTCATTTGTAAAATAAGGGAGTTTAGTAGATAATCTCTAATGTAAATAATCTCTGCCTTCCAGTTCTGAATCCTATGATCCTTTTTAGAGGCCCCAGGTTTAAACCCCAACTCAGCCTCTAATGGACTTTATGAAATTGAGCAACTTATCTCCCCTCTCTGAGCCTCCATCTCCTCAGCTGTAAGTGGAGGTTGAGGGGAGGGAGTTAGAGGAATGCTCACTAATGTCCCTTTCACCTCTAGATGCTATGAACATGAAGGAAGAGCCTAGTTTTTGAGGCCTTTTCCTACCTTGTTTATAGTTCTACACTCAAGGATATGGGGAAGATTTTTAATAGACTGAATTTCCTCACTGTCTTCCCTAGATTGGGGGGTGGGGGTCTTTGAGGTGAAGATACAAGTGACAGCCCTGATGTTTTCTTTTCAGATCCCCTCATCTCCAAGTCAGCCTCCCTTCCTGCCTACCGGAGAAATGGGCTTCACAGGGTAAGGATGCCAGGTGGTCACATCTGTCCCAGGGGCCGATATTACTCACAAATCTTATTTATTATTTGGGTTTTTTATGAGTAAAATGTTGACAATGCTACAGGGATGCTAATGGGTGAGGAAGACTTACCTGAGAGGTTTTTTTGTTTGTTTGTTTGTTTGGTATTACAGTTAAGACCATTTGAATCCCAGAGGGGGAAAAACGGATAAAATGAGAGGCATAATAGATAACCGTTTAGTGAATAATAATATGATATGGCAGATATAACAATTAATGGAAGCTTAGGTTGCATGGATTCGTACTGTCCAGGGCAAGGGATGTGAGAATCCTGCTGTCTTCTGCCCTGGTTAGACCATCTGGTGCACTGTGTCCAGTTCTGGGTACCACATTTGGGGAAGCACAGTAACAAGTTAGTGCACATACACAGAACAGCAAGGATGGTAAAGGAATTAGAGACCTAGTGTGAAGCCATTCCCTCTGGCTAGGAGATTGGACTATGTGGGAATGACAACCCTAGAACTGGGGCCTGTCAGCAGAGAAGTCCCTCATCATGATTGCCCTGGACCTTAAGAAGGCATATTCATGCCATATGAGGACTGTTCACAGGAGCAAGGGATATTTATCCTGGAGAAGAAAAGACATGGGAGAGGGAATATGATAGCTATCTTTAAATATCTGAAGCGCTGTTATGTGGAAAATGGATTAGACATGTTCTGCTTGGCCCCAGGGAACAAAATTGGGAGCAACAGGTGGATATTACAGCAAGCCAGATATGGATTTGATGTCAGCAAAGACTGCCTGACGAGCCATCCCAAAGTGGAATGGGCTCCCTCAGGAGGCAGTGGACGCCCTTTCCCTGGAGGTCTTCAAGGGGAAACCAGAAGGCCATCCCTTGTCAGAAGCGTTGTAGAGATAGAAATCCACCTCAGGCCCAGGTTAGATTGAATGCTCTCTAAGGCCCCTTTCAGTCATCATGGGGCCAGCTGGGAGACTATGATTGGTAATGCATCACTGTGCAGAGAAACCTCCCAAAATTGGGTCAAAAGTCACACTATTCTCTGTGTGTGTGTCTGTGTGCGAGTGAGCACATACGTGCAATAAGGAAGGCATGGGATGCTATAGGAAGAGGCTGGTGATCCATCACAGGAAGCCAACCTTGTGGTTTCTCTTCTCTGCAGACACCCAGTGCAGATCTCTTTCACTATGACAGCATGAATGCCGTCAATTGGGGGATGCGAGGTGAGTCAGGCAGAGCTGGATTCTGATAGGGGAGATGCCCTCATCACTGGTTCATGGAGCTCCATCACTGCTTCCACTGAAGATAGTACTTCCCTAAGTACAAACTCAGCCTCCATCCCTGCTAATAGTCTGAGAGATGGCCTGCCCCCACAGTCCTGTCCCATCCAATCATCTAGCTCCTGTTTTCTCATAATCAATTTAATTCTGTTCTACAAACACAGATTAAGATCCCACTAAGTGCCAGGCCCTGAGGATGTAAAGACAAAAATAGGCCAGACCCTATCTTCAAGTTGCTTATCTTTTACTTTGGGAATACACTTTGTACACAAAAAAAAAGTAAATACAAAGTATACACAGAAGCTAGGTGGCCTAGTGGATAGACCTCTTCACTTCAAGTTGAGAAAATCTGAGATTAAAAATTGCTTCAGACATTTATTAGCTGTAAATATACTCTGTCATTTTACTTGCTCTGTGACCTTGGGCAAGTCCCTTGATGTCTTTGGGTCTCAATTTTATCATCTATAAAATGGATGCTTTAGTGTTACTTGTGTGACTTTAGACAAGTCATTTAATAACTTAGTTTCCATAATAAGAGGATTCCAAAATAAGAGGATTGGGACTATCTCTTCAACCTTAGGCAAGTCATTTAAAATCTTTGGGCTCAGGAGACCAAACTAGGTAATCTCTAAAGGCCCTTCCGGCCTCAGATTACTTTGATCCTATGATCCTTGGGATTCTCTCTAGTTCTGAATCATCTGAGTCTCATTTGCCCTCATCTTGCCAGCCCTCTGGTCCCAGACCCCTCCAACCTCAGTCCTGCCCCTCACCAGCAGCTCTTCCCCTTTGAATGATTTCCAGACAACCCACAAACAAGAGTCTGACTACTGCTTGAAGGCAAATGTGGCACAGAGTATTCCCATTTTGCAGACACCTGCCAACCTCTCCTACATGGAGAAGCACCAGGTCCATATGTATTCCCTTCCTTCTGAAGCCAGGAGCCCAGTGGGACTGAGTTAGCTGCCAAGAGTACTCTCCAGTCTCTTCCTCAGGCTCCCATGAGGTGTGTCAGGGTAGAAAGATGTACCTCACATCAAAGGTTACCTCCTGAATGCCTCTCAGGAGTGGAGAATGGAGGATGAGGGGTATAGAGGGGAAAGTCCTCTGTAGCAGATACAGCCTTCCTAGTGCAAAACCTGCCAAAGGTGGGGAGGGATGAGGCAGCAAAGTGAGAATGAGTTGGGTAATGCACACTGATCTGTTTGTTTCTCTCTTTTCTCTCTGCAGAGTACAAGGTAAGAACCATCCCACATTGCCAGGGCTATCTCCTACCCAATGAATAGCTGTGCTAGCCATTCTTCATAGCGGTGTCAATACGGAATTCCTAGGGTCTTCCAAAGATGGCCTTTCTTTTCACCTCTATCTTCCACCCTCAGAACTCACCATGCATTCCCTGGATCCTGCCTTTGCAAATTAAATGGGAAAGACATCATGGTGTAGTTCCATAGCCTGACCTTGTCACTCATCAGATGAGTGTGACCATTGCCAAGTGAGCGTCACCTCTCTGATGGCCTCAGTTCCCTCTTTAGTAAAATTAGAAAGTTGGACTAGGTGTTCTGATTCTGATACTTCAGGACTCCCTAGGGGACAACAGAATATTAGATCATAGGATCACTGACCTAAAGTTATAAGGAATCTCTCATCTAATCCCCTCCCCTCATTTACAGATCGGGAAGCTGAGGCACAGAGAGACAAAATAATTTCCCCAAGCTTATACAAATAATAAATGCCAGAGGTAGAATTTGAACCCAGGTCCTCTGACTCCAAGGTCAGCATTCTGAACTTGGAATTCAGAGACTCTGAACTCTAATAGCCACCATTCAGATCCATGAGCAGCCTAGTTCTAGGATCATTACAGGGGCTCATAGGACTGCAAATGCACAGCACTTCCCCCAAGGTTTCCTAAGCCATCCTTGCTCCATCTGTAAGAGTTGAACCTCTGGTCCTTCTGCAGAGAGGTAAGCCCCTCCCTGAGCTCAGAGCTTGGTTGGAGGGGTGTTCTACCTGCTTGACCAGCCGAGGAAGCAGGAGATTCCTTTCCAAGCTTATACCTCCTCCCTTGCAACAGAGCTCACCTAATCCTCCATGATAAGCTATCTCTCCTTGCTTGCTCATCAGATCTATCCATATGAACTGCTTCTGGTGACCACCAGGGGGAGAAACCGATTACCCAAAGATGTGGACAGGACGCGTTTAGAAGTGAGTGGAGAGTTGATTCAATCCTAATTCCAAGTCAATTCCAAAAGTAATCTATTATTTCTAGTAACTGGTCTGTATTGGAGATACACTTTGAGTACAAGATTTCAAGGAGTTTGTAGTATAGGGGCAAGAATACTGCAACAGGAAACTGGAGACCTGGGTTTTGAGGTCCAGCCCTGCTCCCTAGCACCCTTAGCCCTAAGTGTGCATCTTGATAACTTGGAGATAACAATTCTATTACTACCTACATCATGGCCCTATTATGAGGAAAGTGTTTTATAAACCTTCAAGGGTATTACAAATGTTGGCCATGACTAATCTCCTCATAACAACCCTGCTGTTGTGTGTAGTGTATTAACATGCCCATTTTACATATCGAATGAGATGTTAGAAAGCATGCTATAGAAGTGAATGGTTTTCATCTGCATGTATTCAATTCATTCTGATATACCTTTGTTAAGTGTCTACTGTATACCATGGTCAGCACTGGGGTTACAAAAAGGGAGAAAAAATAACACGTTAATAATTACAAAACTGCTGAAGGAGAAGAGGTGGATTGGAGGGAGACAGAGGAGGAGGGTTTCAAGCAGTGCAGTGAAGGAATAGAATGGTGAGCAGAGGGAAGTGAGGCTGCTCAGCACAATGAAGGGCAGCTTTGGTGAAGGTTAGAATGAGAGGATAAAGACTATTGAACTTAGAGCCAGAAACCCAAATTCAAATCCTAACTCTACTACTTACTAACCTTGTAATGATGAGCAAGTTATTTCCCTTCTCTGGGTCCCTGTTTCCTTATCTATAAAAGGTAGAAGTTGAAAATAGATGATCTTTGAGGTCTTTACCATCAGTGATAATGAATAGTCTATGATCCCTTACAATTTTACACCTTACAATCTATTTCTAGGGTTCTCTCTAGATATTATGTTCTATGTCCTAAGGTCCTTATCATCTCTAACATTTTATATTCTATAGTCTGTGAGCCCTTCTGGCTCTTCCATCTTATATCTTATGTTCTAAAGGCATTTACAGAACTGACATCCTATGTTATAAGCTCCCTTCCAGGACCAACATTCTATGCTCTAAGGTCCATTTTGGTTTTAAGATTCTGTGGCCTGTGGTCTTCTCTGTTATTTGTGTTCTATTGTCTAAGATCACTTCCAACTCTAACATTCTATGCACTGTTATCTGAAGGCCTTTACAACTCTCATATTCTATGATCCTTTGATTCTGTTATAAGAAGACCACCAGGCATTGCCAGGCAGACAGAAGCCAACTAAAATGGAAACTTCCCAAGACCATAGGATTTGGAGCTGGGAAAGACCTCAGACATCATTTAATGCAACCCCTTTATTTCATTCAACTCCCTGATTTTACAAATGAAAAAACTGAAGGCCACATGAGAAGCAATATACCTAGGGTCATACAGATAGTAAGTAACAACTGGGATTTGAATTCAGGTCTTCTGACATCAAATGCAATGCTCTTTCCAGGGAGTATGTGCCCCTGGTTCCCCATACAGTCCCCAAGCTGCCCTCTCCCACTCATGCTATTCTACCTTTCTCTGTCCCCCTATTTCCAGCGTCACCTGTCCCAAGAAGAGTTCTATCAGATCTTTGGCATGACCATCACTGAATTTGACCGACTGGCCCTCTGGAAGAGGAACGAACTGAAGAAACAAGCCCGGCTTTTCTGAGATCACAAATCTATAAATAGACATTTATATAAAGATATATGTATAAATCTCTATATTGAAGCTCAGTATAACCCACTGTCATACAGAAAGAGATGCTGCCTGCAGGGATATTTGCTTTTCTGGACTGTCAGGCAATTTCTAAGTTATTCAAAAGTTTTTAACTTCTTCATTTCCTCTTTTCTAAGTGCACTGAGATCCGGGGAAGGATTTTCAGGGAGCTCTAGCCCTTTCACTAGGGCCTTTTTTATACAAAAACATCTCGTTTGTGGTAACTTGGGCTCCCCCAACCCCCGCCAGAGTCCCAGTCCTCTCTACCAAGAGAGACCATGGGAATCTCTCCTCTGTTCGATCTCCTGTCTCTTTCCCAAGCATCCACTGTGTGCCTCACGTGGTGAAGTGGAAAGAGCACTGGATTTCTAGTCAGAGGTCCTGGGTTTAAATCCAGGCTCTGCTGCTTACTACATGTGTCACCTTGGGTAAACCATTTAACTCTTCTGGGCCTCAGTTTTCTCTTCCACAAAATGAGGGGGCTGGACTAGATTATATCTAAGGTGCCTTCTAGCTGTGGTTCAGACCCCTGATTGGATACTCCCACGGAGTGATCCACAGGGCTCTCCAGCATCATTGAGTCCCTCTGGGAGCTGACTGAGTAGAGAGAAGACTTTTTCACTGTTTAGTTTGTAATTAGGAAATTTTGGAAGGAAAGGGGAGGTGGCCTAAGTAGACTTTATAGAATGAGTCCCCCATCACTAGAAATCTTCTAGTGGAGTGAACAAGTACAGGGGATTCCTGCTCAGGTACAGGTTGAACCAAATAAACTATGGGGTCCCTCTCAGCTCTGATACTCTATTATTCTCTAAGGAAGAACTTCCTAATAACTAGAGCTATCCAACAATGGAATAAATTGCCTCATGAGTTAGTGAGTTCACCATCAGTGGACGTATTCAAGCAGAGACTGGACGAACACCTTCCAGAAAGAGTGGAGACAGGATTTCTGCACTGGGTAAGGCATGGGGAACTAGACGAATTCTAAGCTCCCTTCCAGATTTAAGATTCTAGGATTCTCTTCCTCTGGTCCGATACTTTTATTCTATCCCTTTGCACATCAACCAGTTACATCAGTGAATAGTGATGCCCTAGAAGGAATGACTTCACCTTGTTTCCCTCCAGATTTATTTCCTCAGTCATGGTCTTTCCTTTGCCTAGAAATCACAGTAAGGAGCACTTAACCTTTCTCTCTTGCTCTAGACTGCTTGACCCTTTCCCCTCTGCAGGGTAGACTGATCCCCTAAACTCCTATGAATTCTAAACTCTATATTCAATGTGCCTCATGTCTCAAACACACCACAGGGATGATTTTATCATTCCTCTTCATGATTCTAAGAAAGTCTGTGTCACTCCAAGGAAGATTTATAGCCTGACACCTGCTCCTCGTAAGTAAGCACTATCCTTTCTTGGGCCCTCTGGCTCCATTCCTTAAATGTGGGTGGGGTTCACCAGGCTGGCTCTGGAAAAGCAGCTGCTGAGTGGAATATAATGGCTTATATTCCTGGGACTCCCCCTGCTTCTGCTTTCTCCCTTAACTGGTCCCTCTGCCCTTTAAAGCAGATGCCTCTCACTCTCATACCTGCCTTCTTTCTCTTGAGAGAGTGATGCTCTGAGGAGCCAGAGATATATCACGGCTTATATTCCTGGAAGCCCCTTGCTTTCTTCCTTAACTGTGCTGCAATGGGGGATGGCTTCTCCAAGGAGACACAGAGCATAACCTAAGTCCATAGGTCACATAGGACTGACAAGAGATGAGCCTAAGCCTTCGATGTGGTTCCTGTTGGTGGAATGATGAAGGTTCTTCCATTTGATAAGAGTTTGTCAGGGCCTGTGTTAACTGAGGAGAAGGCTGGGCCCTGCAGAGTCCTGCAAAAAGAAATCTAAAGACTAACATTCAATGTTATCATTTGAAATTCTAACCTGTATTACACCCTCACTTCTTTTTGGGACCTTCTTGGCTTGCATGGTCCAGGCCAGAAGCCACCTTGGGAGCTGAGATCTCATCACTGATCTCTGATAATTTAGAAAGATTTTTTTTTTAATTTTGGTTATTGTTGTTGGCTTTTTCCCTCTCCATAAAACACATACTTTCAACTAAGCCCTATGCCCTCCTGTATTTTTTTTTTCTGGTCTGGGTGGAATTAGATTCAACAGGGAAAATACAGAACAGACTTCTCATAGCCAAAGAACCTAGGCCTCCATTGGTCAATCTCTTCCCATTTATGCTCCTTGGGGCACAGTGGATAGGTCTGTAGGAGGCAGTGTAGGCTGGTGTGGGCTTCCCAGTGATATGAGACAATGGGACATTCATCTACCTTCTACCCACTAGCTCTTGCTTTTAAGGCTAGGCATAATATACTTAGGGCATGGCTGCCACCTTCATCACAACACACAGTTTGGCAGGTTGTCAATTGGTAATCAAGAGATCTGGAGCCTTTCCCCACTTAGCACACTCTGTGTGACCTTGAACACGTGACTTTCCCATCCCTGAGCCCATTTCTTAACTGTATAATGAAAAGGATTGAATCTGATGTTCTCTCCATCTCCTTCCATTTTCGACATTCTGTGCTCTGTGGCCCCTTCCAACTCTGATGATCTATGAAATGGATACATCTATGGAGGTAATGATAATGGGAATTTTTATGGCACTTTAGAGTTTGCAAAGCACTTTTACATACATTAATCTAATTTCAGTTACACACAACCTTCTGAAGTAGGTAATACTGGCATTATTAACCCCATTTTATAGAGAAGGAAACTGTGACTCAGATAAGTTGAGTGACTTGTTAGACCAGAGGCAGGATTTGAATCCAGGTCTTTCTAACTGGATATTAATGTAAAATGTTCTCTAACTATTGAACCATGCTGCCTGTCTAGTCTAGCCAAGTTTACTTATAAGTTCTTGAAATAGTTGCTTAAATATGCAAAGGTTCATCATCCTTAAGGAAGAATTCAGGACATTTATGAGGGAAAATGGTTGATCCACTGCTCCCCCCAACCAAAGAGGAATCTGGAAAGGGAAGAGAGGCAGGAGGTACATCCATGCAAAATTCACTCAGTCTTCCAATTCGCCAAACCACCTGAAAGGGGTCAGCCAACTCATTTTTGGAGGTATCTGTCTTTTTTTCTTTCCACCTTCCATTTAGGTAGTCATCTGAATGTTAGAATGATGTAATCAAAAGAGAATTGGGACTTAAAGCTGGAGGACCTGGGTTTGAATCTTGGCGTTGGCACTTACTGGGAGGTGAAGGAGTGGAGGCAATGAGTGTAGATATAGAGTGTAGACTTTTTGGGAGTTTGGTTGTGAAAAAGGGAAGATATTAGGTAAATAGCTTAAGAGGATAGCAAGGTCAAATAAAAGTATTTTAAGGATGGGGACCATCTGGGTATATTTGTAGGAGCTAATGAATAGAGAAAGATTTAAACTTAAATGTGATTGGAAGAGGGGTCAAGAGAGATGATCAAAGGGGCAAACTCTAGGAGGAGGCTGGAGGGGATAAGATTAAGGGTACAGGTAGAGGGGTGGGCCTTATCAAGAAGGGCCACTTTTTCCTCGGACTAGAAGGAAAGAGACTGACACAGAGACAGACAGAGAGAGAGAGAGAGAGAGAGAGAGAGAGAGAGAGAGAGAGAGAGAATAGGGATTCATTTGAGGTGTGGGATTGAAGTAAAGTCTTTATTTCCCTTATTAAGTATGAAGTGAGGTCCTCTGTGGGGAAGTACTAGGTCAGGAAGTAGTTGTAGGTGGCTTGAACTGGGGTAGAAGGCTTGAAGCAAAAGGTTTACCTAGATAATGGAAAATTTGTAGTAGACTCAGCATGGCATGAAGCTTCCTTCTTCAGGAGCATTCAGGTAGAAACAGTGAAGGCAGATGGTGGGCATGACCCAGGGCTTCCATTTGTCAAAATCTGAGCTACAAAGGATTCAAGGGTTAGAGAGTGCTTGAATGCTTTCCCCCTGTTCCACAGAATATCTGAAGATAGTAATCATATTTCCTCAACTCTAGATTTTGTGATCCTATGATGAATATAAGGGGCAGTTAGGTGGTGTAGTGGATAGAGCACTGGGCCTGGAATCAAAAAGACCTCAATTCAAATTTGACCTCAGATACTAGCTGTATAACCCTGGGCAAGTCACTTAACCCTGTTTACCTCAGTTTCCTCATCTGTAAAATGAGCTAGAGAAGGAAATGGCAAACCACTCCAGTATCTTTGCCAAGAAAATCCCAAATGCAGTCAATGAAGAATTAGACACAACTGAAATGACTGAACGATGATGAGTATAACAAGACCATCATCTTCCTGTTTCTTGACACTATGCTTCTATTAATGCAGCCTAATGGGGCGGCTACATAGCACAGTGGATAGAGTGTTGGGCCTGGAGTCAGGAAGACTTGAGTTCAAATTCAGCTTCAGATACTTACCAGTTGTATGACCCTGGCCAAATCACTTAACCTCTGCCTCAGTTCCCTCATCTGTAAAATGGTGATAATAATAGCACCTACTTCCTAGGGTTGTAGTGAGGATTAAATGACATAATTGTAAAATGTTTAGCTCAGTACCTGGCACATAGTAAACATTACTTACTAATAAATAATAAATGTTAGCTATTACTATTATTATTAATGTGGTATTAGCTTCCTTTGCACCTTTGGCCCAAGCAGGGCTTTGTAGGAAACAATGCTAGGAGATGATTTAGCAGGTCCATTGCCAAGATTAAAGGGATTTCACAGAAAAATTGGAGGAACTTATCAATGTTGGAAGCATAGGTCTTTTTATTTGTCATTGTCTAGGGATAGCCATGTGATTTAACTTAAGACACCAAAGGAGGCACCAAGACAGCACCAATCTTCCAAATTGGGGTGGCAACTGAAACATTATGGCAAAGACTGACACATCTCAAGTGGAACTGGGAAGGGATAAAATCAGGGATATCACCACAGAGCACAATGGTCTTCAAGCCATGGCAGGAGGAATCAGGGGTATGTAGTCCCAAGAGAAGATGATCCTAGGCTTTCTTTGAGAAACCTTGATCCATTTTCACACCATGCTTTAGGATAACTCAGGTGATTCATAGGGAAGAGAGGGATCCTCCTCAAGTGAGTCCGATTGGCCTAAGATCACAGGCAAGGAAGTGCCAATCACCTAAACAACTGAACATTTCTAGCCTGGAAGGTTTCAAGCAGAGATGATACCAGACATAGAGAGTTCTAGGAAAGGAATGGGATTAGAGGGGGATATAATACCAGGCAGGAAGAGATGGTGTGGCTAGGACATATATGGATAGAAAAAATATATATAGAAGACAGTTGGATAGAGAAATCAAAAGTCTTTTTCTGAACTACAACAGTCACTGATCAGAGATATGGAAAGAAAAGCAAGGATAGGGAATTCGGTAGTCCTGAGCTCAGAACACAGATATGTCAAATATCTTCCTTCAGATACGTCAAATGGACTGGTACACACTTAGACTGAGCTCTGGTTGAGGAGGAGTTGTGAACTATTTCGAACCCAGAGCAGAATTCTGAAGGAAGACTGAAGGAAACTTCCTCCTCTTTTTCAATTCTAGTAGATGCCCCTCAGATATCTGCTTTCTGTGGCCTCAGCCAAGCAGAGTGAGTGTGTGTGTTACTTCCCTAGAGAGAGGGGACAGAAGCAACATTGTGCTGAGCCAAACAAGGGAGGCTTTCATCCAGATGCCAACATCAGGCTGGCACAGTGGTAAGATGCTCGGGGGCATGAGTTCTGGGAGGAATAGAGGAGACAGGAGGCAGGGCCACTGGCCAATAAAGAGCACCCTACTGGGCAGGCCCCAGTCATAGAGCAAAGTGTAGGCTGGAGGTGAAGTTGAGAAATCCACAGGGATCTTTAGCTAAAATCCTCATGACAAACTAGTTTCTCTTATTTAGGAGAGAGGAGTGGAATGAGTTCTAACCTCAGATTAAAGTTAACCTAGTAGACTTGGGTTCAATCTCAGCTCAATGAATCAATAAGCATTTCTTAAGTGCCTGCTATATTCTAGGTACTGTGGTACAAAAAGAAGCAAAAGACAGAACTTGCCCTGAAGGACCTTGCAATCTAATGGGGAGATAACATGCAAACAGATATATACGAAGCAAGCTACATACAGGCTGAACAGGAAATAATGAACAAAGAGAAGGCTCTAGAATTAAGAGGAACTGGGAAAGGCTTCCTATAACACATGAGATTTTAGTTGGGACTTGAAGTCAGGGAAGTCAGTAGGTAGGCAGAGCATTCTAGGCATGGGGGATAGTCAGAAAAAATGCCTAGAGTTTGAAGATGGAATGTCTTGTTCATAGAACAGTACAGAGTATATAGTGGATCAAGAAGTATATAGTGGAGAGTAAGGTGTAAGAAGCCTGAAACAGTAGGAAAATGCTAACTTTTGATGGACTTTGAGCACCAGGCAGAGGATTTTGTATTTGATTCTGGAGGTGATAGGGAATCATTGGAGTTTATTGAGTCGGGGTGGGAGGGAAGGGGAGGTGTCATGGGTGTGCTTTAGGAAAATCACTTTGGTACTAAATGGAAGATAAATTGGAGTAATGAGAGACTTAAGACAGGCAGACCCACCAACAGGTTTTGAGGGTCTGTACTAAAGTGAAAGTAGTGTCAGAGGAGAGAAGGGGGCATATCTGAGATACATTGCAAAGGTGAAATTGGCAGGCTTTGACAATGGGTTGGATATGGGGGATGAAAGATACTGAGGAGTTGAGGAAGGCTGAGGGACTGGAATGATGGCACTGTTCTCCACAATATTAGGGAAGGTGGGTGGGGAAGGTCTTAAGGGGGAAAATAATGAGTTCCATTTTGGACATGTTAGATATCTACTGAAAATCCTGTTTGAGAGGAAAGGCAGATGGAGATGTGAGTTTGGAAGTCAGCAAAGAAGGTGGGGCGGAATGGGTAGATTTGAGAATCATCAGAATAGAAATGGTAATTAAATCCATGGGAGCTGATGAGACCACTGAGTAAAGTAGTATAGAGAGAGAAAAGAAGAGGTCTCAGGACAGAGCCCTGTGGGACACAGGATGAAGTTCCAGCAAAGGAGACAGACAAGGATTAGTCAGATAGGTAGAAGGAAAATCAAGAGAGTGATGTCCTAAAAACCTAAAGAGAAGAGTGTATAAAGGAGGAGAGAGTTATCAACTGTGTCAAAGGCTGCAGAGGTCAAGGAGAATGAGTACTGAGAAAAAGTCATTGGATTTGGCAACTAAAAGATCACTGGTAACTTTGGAGGGAGCAGTTTTAATGAAGTGATTAAGTCATAAGCCAGATTGTAAGAGTTAAGAAGAAAATGAGAGGAAAGTGGAAGCACTTGGCCATTTTGAATTTAGCCACAAAAAGCAGAAGAAATATAAAAATATAGTTAGCAGGGATGGACAGATCAAGTGAGGGTTTTTTTCTTTTTTTAGAATAAGGGAGACATAGACATGTTTGCAGGTAACAGGGAATAAGCTAATAGACAAAAAGAGTTTGAAAATAAGCAATAAAGTGAGGATGACAGAGGG